GGTGTCATGTTCAGTTTGTCCTAACATTATTATTGAAATTGGTTTTTGTGTAAGTATCTTATAAGTTAAAAAAAAAACGTTTGGGGGATCACTATTTCGACCATTCCAATCTTGAAAACCTCTGTTTTAAAATGTGATCAATTTTTCCCCTGTATAATGACTTCCATAAGAAATGAAAAATGCCATTAATAATGATGACGTCACGCATGCACTTTGCATAAAATTGATTATGAACAATATTGTTTTTAAACTTCATTTCGGGAAAGAGCCATAATTTCAAAGGTAAATCCAAGCCACCTGTCTTAGAATATCATTAACTGGTAATTCTAGAAAGCAATGCGGAAACCCGAGGGGGGAATCTGAACCCCTCTACGCCTCCTTGGGAAATATATCTCGATATATTGAAACCCTAAGGCGCAACTGAGGGTTTCTGAGGTGAAAGGTCACGAGATCAAATTTAGAGGTCAACGCGCATGTGCACTTCATATTAGATGCTTGATGATCGTTATGTCTAACTTGATAAGTTTCCGTATAAATTTTTTTTCGAAAAACAAAAAAGTTTCATAATAGAAGACAAATTGTTTGTTTGAAGTCACAGATCAGTTGCATTTATCCCCAAAGTAACCTACCGAATTATTATCAAAAACCTTACCTGGATTAAAGATCGTACTGGTACTAAACACCCGGGACATTATTCCGTCTGGCTTGCTGTCATTTAGAAAATGTAGGTGATTTCCAACGAATAGTCAATTGACTGATTTTCGGAATAATGAGTGCTGTTGATGAAATCGTGTTTCGCGATCGCAATGTGTGTGCATGCCTTTCACTGTTTTCTTGAATAGTGTAATATCTGCTGAGCTGAAACTTCAACAGGTTAGGTTTTGAGTGTGCTGCAGTGGTAAAGGACCTACACTAAAATGTGTTAAGCCGTTTTATGAAAACAAAATAATGCCAAATTGCCAAGAAAGTGCAGAAAATGAAATTTAGGAGACTGAATTCGGCATGTAGTCTGTATTTCGATTAAATATGCCGTGTGGATGACTAAACATTTCCTGTATCGCCTAGTTATCGTCTATCGAATTGTTCATCACGCCCTTCTAGACCTACTCAAAATTAATTAATCAACATGTCGAGCATGGCTACCCTACTTTAATTCACTTGCGCAAAGTACAAAAGAAGTTGCTCAGTGCAACAGACTATGTACATCGACTCCCTCTATCAAAGTGAAAAATCACTTTAAATGTTACTTCCTGTGATTTCCAAGGTTAGTTCCCCAATCTCATTTCATCTGATCATTTTGTAGGCCTACCTCCGCAGGAATCTAAGCCAAACCCTGGCGCTTGTATGCTACACATGCACCGAGTGAACGATCGATGTGACAAACATTCAGTCTTCATCAAGTTATCGCTCCGTCTTGTCTTTCGTGTCGATAACGAATGGCATTTCCAAACCGGAGAGCTTTCATCATTGTGTATAGTACACCTCAACTCTTGTTCGCCTCGGCGCGGTGAATAACACGGTACACAAAAAACCCACGAATTTCCCCCCAGTTTGCCCGGGGCCCAATTAACTTTCACCGTGGCTCGCGCGCGGCGCAGGCTCGCAATGTCGGCAAAGGCACACTTATATTGCAAAACAAAAGGCACCCCGGCACCTCGCCTAATCAAGGATGAACGACGAATAATCCACATCAGTAGAATTACTTTACCTCCGCAGGGCTTAAAGACAGAAAACCTCTATAAGGCCCACTGTAATGCTGAAGCATCTGGGACCGCGTATACTGCATCAAGTAGATACCGATGCACGCATGCTACAGCGTTGGTTAACAACAATCAGGCGTTGATGAAAGAGACACCAAAATCACTCGACGGTAAAACGCGATTTGCAGGTTGCACTGATAACGTGTCCTGGGTCATGTTTTGCGGTATCGTTAAAGGGAACTGATGGGTTGATACTATCATAATGCATGGTATGATGATGGATTTTTTACTTCTTTTCTTCATTAGCTTTTAGGGTGACTATTGTTAAAATCCCGTAGCAATCACGCATGGGTATTAGTATCGTGAGAATAATAATCCAAATTTGAATTGGACGACGGGCTAAACCGCTACTAAAAGGAAATACTAAGATTTTGTTTCGACTAGTCACTTCTTACGAAAAGAGTATACAGTTTTATTAAAAATTCCCTCTTTATTACACAAAAATTAAAGAGATGACTGAAGAATCATAGGGTAGTCTTTTTTTCTGAGCGGTTTTGAATCAGAGGCCTCAATCTCCGTTGTCAGTGAAGTGAAGATGCCCTACATAAGCCATTGGATTGTGAGATTCGATTTGAAGCTTCTTGAGCTATCGCCCGTTCCACAGTGGTTGCGTCACTGTATAGATCGTTTGCACTGCAGCCATGTTTGAGGCGTGTGTCCTAGGGACACGCACGGGTGGACATCTTGTGCATTCATTGTTAATGAATTAACCGTACATCCCTCCAAGATATGGTTGCTGAATGCGATCGATATATTGTTAACAGGCACGACAATACATAATTGCGGAAATTCCATAAGAATATGATCAAATGTGCATCACAATCCCTGCTCAGCATGAGTTAGACCCTGCAGCAGCTCGATATCAGTGCATGATGGTATGTACCTTCACAGGTACATATTTATACTCCTGGGTGGAGAGAGGCAATCGTAGTAAAGTGCCTTGCCCAAGTGCACAAGCACCATGTTCCCTGTCAGGGTTCGAACCAGTGTACCAGGGCACACGAGTCGAACACCGTAACCATTGGACCACATCACCCCACTGCATCAAACCACTGTGCATTTTTTTTACCAACCAAATAGAGAGGATTTTCCTTTTCGAAAGTGAATCCGACTAGGTATCTGCTTATTTGGGAAGATTTCAGTTTTGCCACCCATAGCAAAGATTGCGTGTTCATATTCAGATACCAACCAACAAACAAAAACACACGAAATATTGAAACTAGTCTCGCACGTAAATACAACCACAAGGGACAACGGGACAACAGGATAAACTCAACCTTTTTTTGGCAGAAGGATTATGTAACCACCAATCTGTAGAAATGTCATGTTTACAACTGATGATAAAATACACAGGAATATCTTGGTGCAACATAGGTTAAAGGTAGGGTTGATCATTTGTCACTTGTGCATTTTGTTTTCGTTTGAAGCAACGAAAGTGCCCAAAATATAACGACGGGTGCTTAACAACTATTCCGATGAAGTTCTGACTCTGTGAATGCTGCATATGCCGAGAAAACAATATTCTAGGATCTCGATTTCACTTCAAAAGTAGCCGAGTCATATTTTGAATCAAATCAGTATCCGGGACACGTTCTCATTCAGCCGATTGCAGCTATACGCGATTTCACGCACTGAACCGACGAATAACAACAACAGCGTGTGCGTCTTGTCAACGCTTGCGCGCACCCATTCACGGATTTGCCGAATATTACAAGCCAACTACTAACGGAAATTTGCAAAAAATGCGTCACTTGACGCATCTTTGCAAATGGCTGTGTTTTATTGTTTTCTTCAAAATGCCAGCATGCCAGACAAAATAATTTCACAGGGAGTTTATTGCCATTACTATCTTTAAACCAAGTAAGCTTTTCCACACTATAATTTCGTCAGTCATACTTTTTGGATAGCTGCAAATGATCTACTCTATCTTTTAAAAAATAGCTTGAAAATATCTTTTTCAAACTTAAAATGAAATATGCCATTTGCCCTGTATCAATTCTTTCCGTTGCCGGAGGATATATAACTTGAGCCCGAAACTCTCCCTTACCAACTGTTGAAAGAACCCTATATAAACCACTCGGCAAGTGTCTCATCACTCCATCTGGCAGGGCTGAGAGTTTAAAACAAACACAAGGTTAGTCTGCCTCGCAGGCAAGCCGGTGATTGGGTTTTCATTTGAGTGTCTTCCCCCGCCACTTCCCGCCCCAAAATGTGGGTTGGGAGTGATTTGATTAAGCGATCGGTCAAACGTCGCGCTGTGTCACCAAGGTAATGATAATGGATTCGGCTTGAATCGGACGAAAGCCACGCGTAGCACGGGAAAGGCAGATAAGTAATTCACGATAAGTTTGCAGTGTCGTGAGAGAATTGCGATGTCGTGAAAGACAGATGTCGTGAAAAACAATTTGAGACGTGAAAAAAAATCGCCATGTCGTGAAAAAATGTCGTGAATAAGCTTGTGGGTCGTGAAGAAAAGCTTGCGCTTTCGTGAAAAAAAGTTTGCGATGCCGTGAACAAAATTGCAACGTCGTGAAAAAGTTTGCGATGTCGTGGCCAACAAAAGACACGATGCCGATGTTATAAAAAAAAGGTCGTGGAAAATGTTGTGAGAGTGTGTGATGTCGTGAAAAAAAAAGATGTCGTGAAAAAAAAGAAAATTTCGTGCATTTTTTTTACGTCTTTGATGTCCCTCCAGGGGCATCATTGTAAAGTCAGACACTTGTTGTCTTTTACTCACAATACCATTCTGACTGCATGGAAGTTTAATAGTTTTTTAAATTTGCACTTGTTTTATTCTCCTGTTTTTTTGTTTGTAGTTGAGGAGGAAGGGTTGTTCATCCACAAGTACACTGAAAGTTGAAATAAAAAAACGAACACTTTTCTTTTTTCCGTTTTGCACTCATCAATTCGTCAATTTTTCATTAAATTTCCTGCAAAAGAAGATATAGAAAACGGTTTTGCAGAACATACAATTTGAATTAGATCCATTCCCACAATGAATCAAATTAGTGCGTGCAACCCAAAGTGCAGTGCATGACTTGCAATGCATAATTATTGTTTTGGATATCGAGCAGGAAACAGCCGTCGTTATTGTAGATCAATTCCGTAACTATGCCGAACAATCGATTTTCACCGTTGTTAATAGTCCGGTGCAAAGAACTCAGAAAACAACCAATAAAAGACCCGACCTCTTCCCCTTTTGTTCTCACAGCCCAATTCGATATTAAGAATTGATAAGCTTCACTTGCGTGCCCTCAAGAACCAAGCCCGAATTTTTTTTTTTAGCTTTTTAAAGTCGGCCATGTTGGCGTTCCTTGTTGTGAGAAACGGAGGGCTGGCGTACAGCTGTCTGATTGATGTGGACCGACTCCATTCCAGCGAGTTTCTTCCCGTGTTGCCGAATTCCCTTCGGCAATTAAACCCGGTTGTTCCTTCGGAATAGCCTCCAAAAGAAAGTCAACATCTTCAATCCAAGAAGGAGGAGTGTGGACTGTTTAGTGAGCAATGACGCCGAGTGTATTTGCATAATCTCCTGGCGGCCAAGGAAGTGCAACAATTGAGAGTTTTCCAGCTTCAATAAAGTTGGGACTTTTAATAACCCTGACTTTTTTTTCTCGGCGGAGGTCAGTCAGCCTCAACGAAATCATGGTTTTCGAGGAAGAATTGGTGATGGTAAGCGATGGTGTGAAACAGCTTTTGAACTTATTTTAGGCTTCCTTTCATCCGATGATGACAGATTCAGTTTCCTTTAATTTGTTAATTATATGCTAATAGGCTATGTATTCCTTAAAGGCTAAGAAAATCGTCTGTGCCATCAAATTTATTTCATACAAAGATTTTATGAAGAAATATAGACTCGGGTTCCGCACCACACTGGGACCTTGAGTTCAGAAAAAAAAACCATGCAAAACAAAATCGTGCCAACTTGTAGTCAACAAAATTCTCCAAAATTTTCAAGACAAAGTCCTCAGTATTTCACCAGCTAAGTTTGAGGTCTCAATTAAATTGTTAAAGGAGACTTTTCTTTAACATTTTGCACCTCAGACTGACACTAAGTGATTTCAATGTGAAGCCTAAGACTAGACTGGTATCCAACCGTTTGAGAAGATTGACCCTTCAGTAGTCTGGTGACATGATTACAGAAATGTGTAGCAATAGAGACTGGTTTTATACCAGATGTTTCATGGCAATACTAAAAGGGGTTGGACTGGTTGTTTCACGTGCCAGTTTATTTTCTTGTATTGCATGTTTTTACTATCGTAAGTTTTGGGACCCTCATACACAGTATTGTCCCCAAATTTTCGGACGCCATGAATCATTTAAGAATGAGTGGCTCAGAAGTCTCTCAGCAACAAATTCATAGGATTGCCAACAATACAGACTGACCATTTGAACCTTTTACAGTCTGAAGAATGTTTGTTTTATAGCACTGTATTCCATTCTACTCTAAATCACAACATCTCGAATGTTCTGAACATAGACTGGATCGCTACACCGTATACTAGGATAAATTTCGACTAAAAACTCGGCTGCACTCACTTAACTATATAGCTAGCTACGCACACATGAACCAACTCCACAATTTTACCGATAATGAAATTGCTGATACAAATGGTCTTCCTTTATACCAAACAAAATTAAGGTCACCAATTCACTCTATATAAGTCTACGGCATCACAGTATGCATGAAGCAAGTCCGAAATAAGAGAATCAATTTCCTCAATACATGTAAAAACACATCTTTGGCGTTGACTGCTTCTTGTTCTCATGTATTCATTGCTGAGATCAAGGGTTATCAAAATGGCAGCTTGTTCCATTTCTGGGAAGTGATTTTCATCTTCTAAACAACACAAGGCCTCCTGCACGATGCCTCTCTGTTTATTAAATCAGAAATGGTCGAGCAATGCTCAATTCAGCGTTGCTCAGGTGCGCCTCGCGAAATTATGCCGCCATGTTTATTTGATTTGATTAAACAGCACCTGACAGTAAAGTCATCAACCGTATCTGAATCAGTCATCATTCTTTTCTGGCCTTTTTTTTTAACCATGCAATATAATACGGCAGATAGTATACTGGTTACAAAAAAATCTCTGTGTTTTTCACAAACAGACATGTATTAATGGATATTTTCTGTCAAGGCTGCACACTTAATGGCGAGAAATTTGTCTGCTCGAAAATGGGGGCGTACTACCCATTTGGCATTGACATTTTAGCAATGGGGTAAAATATTAAAGCTTATAATAATGTCCTTCAATCTCCAAGTTGCGATTAATATATTTTTCATTACGATTAATATAAGCACTTTCGAGTTTCATGAAATTTGTGTGCGTGTGCAGACCACCAATGCATCATCTATATACTATGTTACTTGTGATGTCGCCGACAGGCATCCGCCGAGAAACCGAACAATTTAAGTATATTTTACTTATTGTTATTTTTGCCCACATTAAACAGTATTTGTCAACACTTTTTAAACCAGTCATATTTCAAAAGATGTACATGCAGTGCGGAAGAGAATTTGTTGACGGTTTCCAACACGTGACCACAACATCAAATTTTGTAAACAAATTTCATATGGTCTATACAGGGCGCGTCAAAAAAAGCGAAACCCAAATGTCGGGACCATTGTTTTGGTGAAGTTCTGCATGTAGCACTTTCAAAATCTAGGATATGAAAGCCTAATTCATAAGCGTTCTTTTAGTACAAGAATCATTCAAATCACTTAGGCCTATGTACCGTTAAAGTTGCGGAATTTTAAACACAACCACCGTTTTAATGTTTTGTCCACGGATCGCAAGAAGGTAAGTGTTCTTTCAGCAAAACGAAAACAAATCAAATAGGGATGTTTGAGAATTGTGTTCGTTTTGCTGAAAGAACGCACACCTTTTTTGTGATCTGTGCGGCGTGGGTAGAACTTTAAAACGGTGGTTGTGTTTAAAAGTACGTAACTTGAAAAGTACATGAGTGATTCGAATGACTCTTGTACTAAAAGAAAGCTGATGAATTGGGCTTTCAAATCCTAGATATAGAAACTTCACTAAAACAATATTCCCGACATTCGGTTGTTTTTTTTTTACTCACCCTGCAGTTGCCAATTATATTATAATCTGGAATTTCGGGACTATTTTGAAAGAAATATATAAAAAGAATTCCTTTCTTATATTTATGTCTGTTTTGTGCAATCCATTTTGATGAAGATGGAATATAACCTCTCAATATTTAAACAGTACACTGTACTTCGTTTGAGTTGACTAATGATCCTCGTCTTTGCAAGTCACAAAACATGTAGAAGAGAACTGAAAGTTGCACTGTTGTTCGTACGCAACATCAATCGATAACATCTATTCGTATTCATTGATCAAAGAATTCCAATGCGATCGATACTGTTCCGCGTCTAGGCCTAGTACTTTTATAAGCTGTCAGAGAGCAAATACGTTTTCATGTACAACAAACATGAAACAGCCGCCGAATTTCCCGAGATGTATGCGGCTTGGGCCTCAAACTGCCAACGGTTCTACATGCGTAATAAAATTATACAGATCGTTGAAAATGTTCAATTATGAATGATACAAATCAAACACCTTAAGGAAAACCGTCTGCGTAAAGTACACAGGTTAAGGACCTGCTAGAATGTGTGTGTCGCAGTGTCGTCCACAAGACTCAACGGTTGGATCATATCTTTAAAAGCCTCTATATCCCATCATCTTTTCAGTAACCACGTGACCTTTAACGCGCAGGCGCAAAATTCCTTCTTGTCGTTTATTTCTTTTTTCTTACTGTGATTTTTTTCTCGATAGCATTGTGATATGCTATAATTATGCTTGAACTTCAATAAAACCTACTCTCATAAGGCAATATCTGTATCAACACACTCATTATCCTACCAATTCCAATATAATACAAAAGGAATTTCCGGTTTTTAAGAACCCGATCTGAAGTAGTTTTGCTCAAAGTAAAACAAAACTACGCTTCCTATCGTTGCCGCAGGCGCAGCACGTGTAGCTGAACCGTTAAATTGTACATGGATAAGCTATAGTTGAACCTTATTCGCTTCCACATTTTCATTTGACAGAAAAAAACCCCAAAAGTCTTGTAGTTTCTTAGATTCCACGCGTGATCTGAACCCTATGCTACTTGATTACGACCTCGCGGACTCTCGCCAGTGAATTGTTTCATTCCAACCGGCGGGCAAACTCGCTTCCTCATCCCGTCGACCTGAGAGCCACTTCCGCTCCGCTCTCTCTTTTTCCGCGGTCTTTCTTTTTTTCATCGCCGTGTTTGTGACGCAAGCAAGCAGTAATTTAATTTCGGTTGTTCCGCTGTGATGCGCTTCATACAACCGTCGCCTTCATCGTGCCACATGAGTTGCTGCAATGCATGGGTGTATTTAAATAAAAATGCGTTTTGTGTGTTTTGTAGACCACATGCGTAGCAGCCATCTTAGATAGGGGGCAATGCCTTTGCTTTGCTGGGATATGCTTGAGTGACAATTTTGTGCATTCATTGTCACTGAATTAAAATGAGGAAAGATGCCCTCTGAGATGGCTGCGACGCGTACGTTAAAATGGAAGAGGTTTTTCCAAGTTGCAAGCCAAGTCAAGACTAGCGAAGCTGATTCATTTTGGCAATGTGATTGTGATGGGCAAAAATCGTCGTTCGCATGGAGACTTGACGTATTGCCTACACATTATTATTACTATTATTAAAATTATTATTATTATTTATTTTTGGTGATGAAACCAAGGATTCCTCAAAAGTGCCCTAGGCACTGTAGCTCGCGAGCCTGAAGAAACCTGTGGAGAGAAGACAACGAGAAGTAATGACAGTTTAAGAGGTGGGAGGAAAACCCCAGAAGAATAATCTGGGGAAATACCCACGGAATCAGGTAGGGACTGAAAACCCAATCCACTTATTGGCCCAGCCAGGCGGCCCGGGCCACAGCATTGGAAGGCGAGGAAAGTACCGCTACGCCAACCTGACTCGGAGTACCGCTATGCCATTATGGCAGTACGTGAGACAAGCGGCGCCAGACTAATGCACATGTGGTGTGGATGCTACAAGGACATGGATAGGCAAGCCTCATAAATCTGTTCCCAGAGCAGTGTAAGATCACAAAATGGTCAGTCAGTGAAGATACCCAATCTAATTCACAAGTGACAGTCAGTGAGGGAGTCGGTCAGCCAGTGACGTTCAAAGGGAACGTAAGACAGACACTCTGAGCCAGGCAAAATTTATAGTATCGTGAAATAACAAAATAGCATATAAGTTCGAGAGGCATCAGCAAAAAATATGCATCATTATTCGTAAAGTATGCGACACACACAGTTTGAACTTTGGAGAATATCGATTGGTGTAAAATAAAACCCGCCCAGTGGCGTGCATAAATACACAAGCCCGCTCATGAAGGGACGAGAACATTTCTTGGTCAAATTTTGCAATTTGATGACGACGCTGCAAACATCAACCGCCCACATAATGTCTATCCAGACGTATTTATTTTCTGTCAGTAGGATAGGGGTGAGTAATTGATTCAAATTGTGCACGACAAACGATGCTGAACGTTTGCCGGTAGATTGCTTGAATTTAAAGTGGTACGGAATACAAAAAATAAAGGAACATGTGTCTATATCCCCCCTTTTAAAACCCATACAACCAATACCAGTTCTGATTTAAACTGAATTCATAGATACATAAGACAGTTTACCCATTCCTATTGGTCGAGAGCCCGTCACGTGGCCGGTTTTAAACGGTTGATAAAGACCGGCTGGCTGGTATTAAATACTTTTCCAGTGTCACATGAAATTTGGACTCCTATGAAATCTGGTGCCTTTTACCATTTTATTTGTTGAACGTTCATAATCCCCACGTTGGCATGCGCAGTACTACCACTGAGTCAGTTTTTATAGTCCTAATTAAGAAATACACTGGCACAGCTGTGTTCTGCGCCACATCGCGCAGTACGCGCGCCGCGCTCGCAAATCTCCATATAAGGAGTTGGTTACCACAGTATGAATTCCCTTAATTATACTTCCTCAAGATACTTCAACCTATAGTCCTCTTTGTGCCTTACTGACTCACTGACTGACTGACTCATTAGCCTGGCCGTTGGTTTGCGAAAACAGCCGGGCAGTGCTATGGTATGGGATTACCCCGTAGTGGGTTAAATCCGGTCCATTGTGTACACCAGATGCAATATAAAATAAAACAGAATTAATCGATAAAACACAATTTTGAGCGCTCTGGGACCAGATTAACTAGGCTTGCCTTGCCTTGTTATCCGGTTCGTCAGTGTGACGTCAGTTCAGTCTAAACCACGCCCACTGGCCATTTAGTAGCATTGAAACCATTGGAACCGGAAGCTAACGCAACTTGAGTGTTTATCCAATGGGCGCTAGTAATCAGTGGTGCGCGCGCGTGTATGACGTTTTTACTAACGAACCGGATTGACATGAGATTCGATGTGTGCTCTATTGATCAAAATGACCTCAATCTCTGTTCTCTCAAAGTTACAGAAGCCGTGTACAGTCCCACGTACTCAGGTGAACTCGAACTCACGACCTGCGTACTAATCATGCATATTTTGCATTATTATTTGTAGTTGCAAAATTCTATCTTACAAATAACTATAGTAACTTATGTTTAAGACGACCTCCATTATTAATGATCTCTTTCTTGTGTATCCCGTGACAGGATTCCGAGGAGCGAGTGCCTCTCAGTTCCCGGAGCCTCTACACCCCGAGTCCCCCCTCCACCCCTGGCCCCTCCCACGTCACCATAGACCCGGCTCGCTTCCACCTTCCCGGCATGCCCGACCACAATAACAGCGCCCTCGCCAACGGCGGAGAGAAACTCCCCTTCAACAAGGCCGGCACTCACCGGAAGATTCCATTCTACAACAAGGGGTGGGGACGGAGGGGCAACCGCAGGGCTTGGATGATATGCCTGGCTGGGTTTATCCTAGACATCCCTTTTATGGGAATGGTCATGAGCTTCGGTGAGCTACTCTTGCCGTTGCTGGATACGTTCGGTGGCAGCACCGCAGCCATAAGTAAGTAAAAAGGTTTTTTTCCTCAAACACTGAGCCAAATAGACCGGTCCATTATGCACCGCCCACTGCGCACGTGGGTTACAAAACGTACGCCTCTCTCAATACCCGGTTCGTTAGTAAAAACGTCACACACGCGCGCGCCACTGATTACAAGCCTCATTGGGTAAACACTCAAGTTGCGTTAGCTTCCGGTTCCAATGGTTCCAATGCCACTTTATGGCCAGTGGGCGTGGTTTAAACTGAACTGACGTTACACTAACGAACCGGATTCCGGTCGCGCGCGTCATACGCAGGTGCAGGCAAGTCGGATTTTGTGCACGTCAGTCAGACATCAATCACCTGCCCACTATGATTGGTCGAAAACATCATGGGCGGGGCTTAATGGATGCAGAAAACATCACTCATAATTTTTGTGCCGAGCAAAAACCAGCTGGGAACCAGTTGCAATCAAATCGCGTGAAATTTTTGCTGGTAACCTGTTTTTGCTCAGCAAATATTTTCTGTGCTTAGCAAATTATGAGCGGAAAATCTATAGTAATTGACCCTTGATTTGCAGTTTTTATTGAAAGGAGTCCTTCGGGTTATTCTGGGACGGTCCCTAGAAAAAGTGGTGTCATGGCAATATTGTTCTCCCGTGATATCTAGGACTTCTGCCCAGATCAAAATGAGTTTTCATTTTTATAAGTGCATGTGCAGTATATGAGTCGGTATTTTGTAGGGTCCATATTTCATAACACACCGGCACTGTATAATAGTATTAAATCGAGGGCTGAAGATTCGAGTCCCCTTTTCAGTCTTGTTTCTGTGTTATACCGAAAATGTTTCTGTTTTTAACAGGCTGGGTTGGTTCCATTGCCTTTGGAATGGCGTACGTTGGCAACCCCATCTCCACGCCTCTCTACAACCGCTTCGGTTGCAGGCGTGTCTCTATGGTGGGCGTGTTTTTGGGCGCCACCGCCCTCTTTCTCTGCTCCTTCGTCACCGAGTTCTGGTGGATGTTCGCCACCTACAGTCTCATGTTCGGCTGCGCCACCAACCTATGCTACAACCCGCCTTTGATACTCACGGGTGCCTGGTTCCCCGTCAAGAACCACGTGCTGGCAACGTGTGCTCTGGTCGCTGGTATCCCATTTGGTAAGTAGAGGTTTTCTTTGTTTCTTTCATTGGGTTATATACACTGATCTCCCAACCTCGTTTCCAGGGTGTCGAGCGGTACGCTCCCACCACTAAAGTCTCTCACCCTGATATTGGATCATTTACATATCCAAAATGTTTGGATACGTATCGGCAAATGAGGGATAGGCTGGTGCCGTCCAGCTTTGCTTTACACCAGCGTTCGTTTTTGTAATATGTGGTGTCGGGGATAAAAACAGAATCAAATCGTTGCGGCGTGATATACGAAAACACGATTGTTTTCTATATGTCAATATGCAGTATGACATTTCATCATTAATATGAGCAAAATGGAAAGGAACGGATTATGTTTGACAAAGTATGGACGTCATAATTACAATGAACGTGAAAACACGTAATACACGTTGAAAATAGCAACACCAAGTATAATTCCATTTCTTGCTAATTGCGGTATCGAATCAGGATACGGGAAGAAGTTCCCATCCCAGGGCTTTTTATTGGCAACGAAGATGAAAATAAAGTAAAATCTGGGGACGAGGATGAATTTTTTCCATGTTTAAGAATCTGGAGATTTCATATGCCATTGTACGCTGAACATGAAGCTACGCACCGGATCTGCCTCTCAATTGGAACATGGTACGAGAACCAGTATAACCACTCATATCGTACACTTAAATTAAAATTAAAAGAAAATTAAAGTATATTAAACAATTTTTATCTCAATATAATTTAATATAAAAATATAAGAGTCAGAATTTCTTTTGGTGTATGAGAAAGAATACATTTAATAAAAAAAGTAAAGATTGCGGTTAATCAATAGTTAGCATAGATCGGTTAACTTTACAATTCCATTGTTATGGGAGTGATAATAATGGTGGACGGTGAGTCGATGATTAAAGGGTACAGCGGCCGGTAAATAGGCCCGAAATTGCCAACGCCGGCCAAATCTCGATTTGCATGCCCTCAAATTCTCCAGTATTAGAGCATTTTGAGGGCCAATAACTTGAGAGTCTGTAAAAACGAAGGGTGGAAGCTGTGCAGAGGACTGCGAGTTCGTACGAATTTAGGCCCTGAAATGGCTTTATTTTGCAATGGAGAGTAGGCGTCCATTTTCAAAATGGCGATGGGCTTCAGGACTGTTTTAGGGGTGATCACATGGGATGGCATTTTCTCCGAAAAGCCATTCATTAACCCCCAAAAATTGAACGGAAAATAAAAAATGATGACTTGAGATTAAATTTAATGTGTGTTGTAAACGGCCTTGGTGAGTTGTGAGTATTATTAGTAATTTTTGGAAGTGTGCGTAATTGTCACTGAGGTCTATGGCAGTACTGGTCTGCAACCATCACTTCCAACAGCCTATGGGCTATCCATAGAGGTCAGTGGTTATATAATATAGCAAATCATGAGGGCGCTGTAGTATTCAACAAATGAGGGCGCTGTCACGACGCCATTTCTGGGATCAACAACCTGAAAATCCCATTTATTGAAGCAGTTTTGTAACTTTCCTTAAATCTAAAAGATTCAGATTTTAAACAAGTAATTTCTGAGCTGTAGCAAATTGTAAACTAAACTCTTCGGTTCACGTCTGTTTATACTCCAAGATGGCGGCATTACAGCTAGCGCCCTCATTCGTTCAATTAGGTCTATTCTGGTGATGCAAACAAGTATCCTCAAAAGTCCCCATGTCACAGTTACCTCGCACGCCTGACGAAACCTATAGAGAGAAGACAAGGAAGCAATTACCATTTTAGAGGTGGGAGGCAAATCCTAGAAGAATATTCTGGGTAGAAATCCATGGAATCAGGTATAGGGACTGAAACCCAATCCACATTATTATGGATCCGGGAGGGAATCGAACCCCGCCCACGGAGGTGGAAGGCAAAAATAAGGCCACTACGCCAACCCGTCTCCCGAAGTAAACATCATCAATTGCAATTTGTTCTATGTGTTATGTACTTGAAAAGGTTACATTTATTTATACACTTGAACATGTTTTGTATATACAAGATAATTAAATTGGCAGCAAGATTGTGCATTCGTCTCTATATATATAGTTTTCGCAATAAGACTTTCAGTTAGATTTTTGCCATTTTGAAGAGACTGAATTAAAATCTTGTTTATAATAAATTCGGAAAGAATTCTGACAAATTACATGCGAATACGTGGGAGTGATTTGAAAGCAGAGATGTATGTGTTTAAATTAAAAACAATCTAATGCTCCGTGGACATGTTGCTTTTATGTTTCTGTACAGCTAGCGCTGTATAGGATCTATATACAAGATAGCAAGATATACATGTAGTATAATGATTGAATTGCTTGTTATTGCAAAGTCAAACATATTCAAGACTTAAAGTAGATTTCCCTTATAATTATGGTCCCAATAAATTTCCTTTGTTGATGGGTGGTACATTTTTTCTTAAAAGTAAACCATCCTTAATTACCAACTTTTTGTCAGATATTAATTGCAGCGCATGACAAATGAAAGCCAATTAACGTATTCATTATTAATTAGCCGTGTTATGTTTTTGGATACACGAGTTTGTCCGTCTTTCTGCTCGCTTTTAATGTTTATTTGAATTACGTTTGTTTTAATGCTCTTTTTCGAAAACAAGTGAAGTCTTAAGAAATGTGGACCCTTATTTCCCGAAAGTGAAGATTCCAGTCAACAAAAGTGAAGAGTTTGGTAAAAAATAAATAAATAAATAAATAAATAAATGAAAAAAAATACACATCAGATCATACATCGGTGGTATAACTTCTGCTGCATTTAGTACGAAGAGATATCTAAAATATGCCTCCATGATTTTAGCGTTGTAAAAATTATTTCGGATGTTGGTTTAACTGGTATTATTTGACACAGGAAAAACAGGATTTCTGCTCTTGCCGTATTATTCACAAATAAAATCTTGAAAAGTTGAAAAGCATCTGACATTTTAATAAAAGAAAATGATGTCCCGGCCACTGGCTAAGTACGCACTCGCTCTTCGCTGTTCTATTTTTAGTCGCCGCTTCACAATTTTACAGCGGCCCCTGTTTTTTAATTTATTCCATGAGGAAGATGGTTTATTGCGTTTGCATTGATCTCACCTCGTGTTGCCATGGAAACGCGTGATTCAAGACCCGGCAACAACAAAGGACCCGCACGAGTTCTGAGTGAATGGTATTTATATAAAGTTCAGAAAGCGTAAAAAAATAATTTCAACAATTTCATTCATGAGTAAATAATTATGCCGTTCAAGCGTTTCGCGCACTATGATTAAACACAATTCACGGGTCTACCGTTTGCAACGCACTTAGTGCTGTGCATTTTCGAATAACTTGGTATTCGGTTATTGAAACTTGGATTTAATCGAATATTTGAATATTCGAACATTGACGTTGAGGGAAAAACGTTTTCCGAATATCATCTTTTTCTTCGAATTCTCTAGTTGGTGAAATGCTTTCCGGATCGAGTATTCGGATATTCGGTGTATTCGATACAGCCCTACAACAACTCACGCGGTAATTTCTCTTTAATAAAACTCGAAGCAGTATAGTATAAAGAAGTCAAAGGGTATATAGTCCAACAAGGTTTAGAAGAAATTCGATCGGAAATTGCACCGTTAATGGAAGACCGACTTTACACTTTAATTAGTTGAACCCCGTGTTCTAGCGTGATGTAAATCCGGTTTCCCAAGCAACAGAACTTAATTTCTCCATCCCTCTGGGGCATCCATTTCATCTTGCGATATTAACCGAGACTGATAATTAAAATTTCGAGCCTTTTTTTTCTTGCGAAGGCGAACATAACTTTGAACGTTAGATTAACCTTTATAGACACCATAACCTAGTGACATCATTCCTGTAAGTTACCCACAGGCAAAACAGCCACAAATGCAACTTACTTTTTATGTTATTTCCCTTTATTTATGGATCTTTAACCGAGACTGATCATTAAAATTTCGAGCCTTTTTTTCTTGCGAAGGCGAACATAACTTTGAACGTTAGATTAACCTTTATAGAACACCGTAACCTAGTGACATCATTCCTGTAAGTTACCCACAGGCAAAATAGCCACAAATGCAACTTACTTTTTATGTTATTTCCCTTTATTTATGGATCTTTTGCTTTGAATGCATTTTGTTTCGTTTCAAATAACTCGACTCTAAATCCAAAGAACAATGTTCGATACCTAGCCAGAGTTTCAACTCAGTGGATATTACTCTTTTCGAAAAAAACAGTGAAAACCACAGATCTTCTACACCAAATGGGTAATATCCAAGATGGGACCACCTCTTAAAATGATTTTCAGGCCATTTTAACTGGACATGCCGAACGATGTATTCCATATTAGAACCAAACTTCTAATATATACCGCCTCTTTTGAACATTTAGGTCACGCCCACAAAATGGGCGGAAAAACAGGTGTTAGAATGCTAGAATGTCATATTTTATGTTTACGTTTATTTCAACTCATTGAAAAACAAGGAAAATGGATGTTAAATACAGTTTTTATGAGTTTGCATTGTTTGCACTTTTTTCTTTTAAATTCAAGCTCCGCCCCCCAAATGGATGTTTATGAGTTTGCATTGTTTGCACCTTTTTTTTTTAAATTCAAGCTCCGCCCCCAAATGGATGTTAAATACAGTTTTTATGAGTTTGCATTGTTTGCACCTTTTTTTTAAATTCAAGCTCCGCCCCCAAATGGATGTTAAATACAGTTTTTATGAGTTTGCATTGTTTGCACTTTTTTTTTTAAATTCAAGCTCCGCCCCCCAAATGGATGTTAAATACAGTTTTTATGAGTTGACATTGTTTGCACTTTTTTTTTTTAATTCAAGCTCTGCCCCCCCAAATGGATGTTAAATACAGTTTTTATGAGTTTGCATTGTTTGCACCTTTTTTTTTCAAATTCAAGCTCCGCCCCCAAAATGGGCGAGATCCAGGATGGATCTCGATCTTAAAATGATGTCTGGCCCATTTTTACCCCACCTGCCAAATTTCATGCTTTTACCACAAAGTGCACGATTTTGGCCAAAAATTGACCTAAAATAAGCCGCTCCACTATATCGTTGGAAATCACCTATATACATTTCTTGATTTCTCCCAAATAAATGACTGCAAACCAAGCGAACTGACTGCAAACCAAGCGAACTAGTTTCACGGCGTGCTAGCTTATAGTGTATCTCTAATCCCAATTTTTTTTAAATAATAATTCGGTAGGTTAATTTTGGGATAAATGCGAAACATATGCCTTTAAACCAACAATGATTTGCTGTGTAGAAATTTATAGTCGGTATCTCGCGAATAAGCATGTACACGTTTTGTTGTTGTTGTTGTTGTTGTTGTTTTTAAAGAACTGTGACATGGTCTAACCTACTGCATAAAAAAATATAAGCATAGAAGCGTTTCTCACTTGTGTTTCTACACTTTAAGTGTATATAGTCTGTTCTACACTTTAAGTGTTCTCCTGAATACATGTATGTTCTGTTGTTGTAGTTTAAAATATTGTGTAAAAAATTGAGAAATAACTTGATTACAGACAACCTGATTGTAATTTGTATCACAAAATGCGCGGATAGTTATTGATGGATCCATGTATTAGTTCTTTGTAGTTTTCACGTGATTTAGGAAATTTCACGTGATTTAATTGAGTGCAAATGAACGGAATGAACACATGCACCGACAGAATAATTTTTATTGTGATGATGATGACAATGATTCGTGCGGATAACGATGATGATTTTCATGATGATTAAAATGATGGTGGGGATGCGTTAAGCAGATGTGGATGATGATGAAAATTTGGAAACACTGCTGATTGCGATGACATTAGGAAGACGGTGATGCTGAAGGCAATGACACGAGAACAATAATATTTTATGTTCCTTTTTGTTTTTGTTTTTTGAATTAACCTCTATCGTAGATAACTGTATATTCCTAATACGTAAAAACACATTTACTTTAATTTGCATTGAACGTGGCTTCCTATGACAAAGGAAAATGAGATCGACATCGACAGTTCCGAGATAGAAGTCCAGATCAATAGATTCCGACTATTGTGATGAATCTTAGGTTAGGTACTAGGCTCGATCCACGGCACGTTATCAAAATGGGCATGAGGATCCCAAAATGTCCGGTCTGCCGAAGACGTTTTTGTCGACGCTCTGATGTTTTCGCTATGGCTCGGATATTTCCAGATGTAAAACTTTTCCATTTAGGCCTAGTCCTACTTACAACAACATGTGAAGTTTAATTATTTTGGTTTATATTAAGGCTTGCGTTTAAAGAAATTCCATGCCTGGTGTACTGCCAAATATCTGTATGTAATTACCAGTTCGGCCTTTTAGCTTGTACGTGTGTATACACTCGGACGAGGGCAGAGCGTTGCTAAGTAATGTTCTGTTTTTGAATGCGATGGTTACCTGGCCTATAATCTATTAGAAAAGACGTCAGGGGGATCGTCAGGTCAGAGAACCAGACTACTGAAAAAGTTGAAAGGTTATAATTTGCATATTTGTTATTTCTGTTTCTTACCTCAGGCTCCCTAGTCATGAATCCAGTCTGCCAGAGCCTCGTGGAGACTGTAGGACTTCGGAACACTTACCGAACGTTGGCGGCGCTTGCACTCGTCATAGGTATCCCATGCTGCCTCGTCTTCAAACAGCCGCCTTTGGAAGACGAAGACGACACGCGGTCGCTGGAGGGCAGCATTGAGAGCACCGAAGTCGATGGGGAGTGGCTGACAGAAATGATCAAGCAGGAAAAAGAGCCGCCCATACGGAAGCTCTTTGGTGTTCGTGTCTCACTCTGGCTGGATCCAGTCTACATTCTTTACATGGTCGGGCAGCTTTTTAAAGGAATAGGATATGTTTTCCCCTTCATTCATTTGGTAAGCTATCAGAAAATTATTTCCCGTTCAAACTAGCTCTAGGATTTCGGGCTATATGCCGCCCTCAATTGACATACTAGAGCTGTACACCGCCCTCAGCCGGCACGATTGTTATTAACATCGCATTAGCGTCCTCATCACCAACATCATTAATTCCCATCTAATGCAATTTCTCGATCGCCTGCCCCTCATATACCTTTCAAATATCTGAAACACACTGTTTGCTTAAAGTGATTTTCTAAACATTATTGCATCATCTGCGAATTTTCTTGAGGACCCTGGCGTAATAGCCCTACACAAGCTCAGTATTGTCCAATTTTTCTGCTTCAAAAAGTAACTCCCATGAACAATTTGAACAACACTGAAAAGCATAAACTATCAGGGCAAATTGGGGCCATCGTAGACATCTTTCTTTTTTCCTATAGTTTCAGAAGAAGCACAAGGCACACAATCTGTAGTTTGATATACCACTCAGTTTGACATCATTATTCAAACATTATGTCGTTGGAAATGTCGACTGTTCCTAGTAATTTTTGTGCAGGATTTGCAATAAGTCGTGTCCCTCAAAAGTAACTCTAAGCAACTTGTGGTTCATTTTGTTTGGTCAAATATTACCTTTGACTCTATGTCTCCATCAATTTCAACTCTCCAAACTCTTAAATGTAACGAGGCCGGTTTCTATCTGACATGATAACTTTTCCGGGTCAATTCAAAATGACACTTTCGCCGAAGTCAAAAAACCCGAACAACGATCACGACAAGTGTCATTTTCACCCGAAAGTGTCATTTTGACCCGGAAAAGTATCAGGTCAAATCTAACCCGGATTCTTTTGGAGTGAATCCTTCATTGTCTCAATCGACATCTATTCACAGATTCGCTTTATGGACACCATCGGAATCGAGCCCTCCTCCGGCGCAATCATCATGACAATCAAGGGCGCGGCCGATATGGTGGGCCGATTCTCGGCAGGTGTGCTCGGCGAGAAGTTACCCTTCCCCCTCATCCATATGTACGTTATATGTCCCTGCATCATGGCCATCGCTACTTACCTTTGCACCTTTGCGAAAAGTTTCGTCGCCATGTTTTTCTACGCCCTGGGTACGTCGAATTAAATCATTGCCACTAGAAACCCACTTTTGACAGCAATATTGATCTTCAAACATAAGTGACGAAGAAATGATGGCAAATGCATATTTCGACTCTGAGATATGGTACATGTAGTTTAAAATATGTCATGTGCCAAACCTGTTTGTCCACGGATGGCTTTAATCCATCCGCTTGACTGAGCTCCGGAGCTTGGCTTGGTCCAAAACAGCACATTATAGACTTACACGTGAACAACAGTGATATTGGTGATTGTATTCATAATAACACTATTCTTACAATTTTTTTTAAAGACTTTTTTTTTCACAACCATTGACTCCACACTGCCGAATCTTTCTTTAAGGAATCATCAACCTTTTTGCACCCTATCCCATAATATCCCAAGAACTAAAATAACAATGAACAAAATACAGAAATACTACTATTAATGTCACACACACTTCTAATTAATATAACTTCTTTGAGCTATCCTGTATAAAATGTGTTGCTTCATATCAAATTTATCATAACAGCTATAGGTTTCTTCAATGGAGTCTTCAATGCGCTCATCTTTTCAACCACCACCTCCCTCTTCGATCGAGACTCGGCCAAGGAGGCCTGGTCCTTCTGCCAAGTCCCCCCAGGAATTGCCATCATCATCGGCCCTGGGATCGCAGGTATATACTTTATTACATCCGCCTCGTACCCACCGCGTTGATCAAAGTGCCCCAGTGACCATATTTTTTCCCATACCACATAGTCGCTATGGGCGTATATCGAAGAAAACGAAGAAGACGACAACAAATCGGTTAACAACTCGCGGTACTCGACTACTCGGGAGTAATTTCTTTGTGAGTTCTCGAGTAAGAAAAAACCCACTACTCGCCCAGGCCTACCACAAACACCTGATAAATGTCATTTTTCTGCTTTTTTTCTGGGAATTCGGTTAACTACTCTTGAGTACTCAACTACTCGCAAGTAATTTCTTTGCCAGTTCTCGAGTAGAAAAAATCCATTACTCGCCCAGGCCTAATTGTGCACGCTATTGTACAAAGCAACTGCCCTATGACAGATTATCTGCACTATATCTAGCCTATAGTCCTCATAATTGTCAGAGCATCTTGACCAAAATATAGGCCCACAGAAGTAGAGCCACAGGAAAGAATTCCATACTGGGCCACCACTCAGACCTCCTGCACTAAGTCTATGGGCCATGACGGGAAAAAGTTTTAAGTATCTTAAGAATTTTTGCACTCCTTAAATAGTGTTTCTTCATCAGAGTTACAACTGTTGGTACTTTTCAGGTCATATTAGGGAATATGAGTGGTGACCCAGTATGGAAGTCTTTCCGAGCCACATTTATCTCTCAGATAAAGGGTGCGTTCCAGTAGCTCACCCGGATCGACTCGGTTAAAGGCAGACGCGTTAGTCACGACAACCGGGCAAATCGAACGGTAAACTGCGGGCCATCACGATCCTCACGTGACGCCCGTAGCCGTGGCCGTAGCCGTTTCAGATGTGTCTTGGTTTGAGATTTATTGATTTTCAGTCAGTTTCCAAAACTAAAAAAATTGGGCTGGAATTATAGCCTTAAAATTAGCAATGAACTCTATGAAATTATTACCTTTAGAGTTCAAATAAAGTAATTTTTAAGTCCGCTTGAGATTTCCTCTGTCCTGGCTGCCATTTTTTGTCCGTTTCTTGGAACGAACAACGCATGCGTGTGACGTATTTCCACCAATGACTCTGCTCCACGAGCAAGGTCTGTGGTGGGTGACCCGGGTGGGCCCCGAGAATGACGTCAGAGCTAATCGAACGGCATGGAACTGGCAGGGGGCTGACCCGATCGAGTCGACCCCGGTGAGCTAAACGAACGCACCCTAAATAAGCCTAAATAAGCCTTTATTTTCATACATGCACCTTGTCTTCCATTCACGTCCCCAGGGATGGTCTACGACCTCAGTAAATCCTACATCGTGGATTTCTACGTCAACACGGCCGTCTTCGAGGTTGCCATGATCACTTTCCTCCTCGTTCCCGCCATCCAACTATGCAGAAGGTTACGATCGCCGACAGTCGTGGAAGGAGGCGGCAATGACGGGTCAACCAACGTCATGGAGATGTCTCAATTTGAGAGGCAACGGAAAATTATGGCAAACGGTTATCAATCCATGAAATAACGTGCAACGAAAATTGAAAATCACAATATTCTGTCTTACAGATCATGATACACGGTTGGGGGCGCTCTAACAACAACACTTGGTGGGATACACATTTTTTCTTCTGCACACAAGCAAAGTCATTTGCCTTAATACGCATGCGTTGAACAAATCAGATGAGTGAATTTCTCTCTTAAATTGTGTTTATTAGAGTCCTGTACTGATCGATGAATTAAACGCCATCTTTTATTCCCGATTCATGGCTTTGGATAAGTGAAGCCCGTGAACACGTTATATACTGACGCATGCGCATTATGGTTGCAGAAAAAGACAATCGTTGGCAGGACCAGACTTCAGCGTGACGTCAAATTATATACATGTATTGTGCCCTGTACCTAAATGGAAAACTTAAGTTTTTTTCATATTATACTTAAAATTGATACCTAAAAAAATGAAAAACTTAGGGGTTAGTGAGTGCTGCGAGACACTACCGTATTTACTTTCAATTAATGGACAAACTAAACATATATTGATATGTAAAACGAAAAGCATGCACTCAGCTAATGACAGAAGTAGGATAGATCCTGGTTTGTGAGTGGAACATTTAGCCTGTAATTGTATTTATAGCGGAGATTTAGGCCTTGTTTGTGATAAATTATGTGAGTCAATAATATTTATTAAAGTATACATAGCCATTTATAAGTGCACAAATAAATGACTGGTGTATAGTTGTATTATGCAAAGCCAAATGTCTATAAGAATTGTAGAGAAATAATGAATCATTTTATCAGGTCAGATGCAACCAATTGCAATGGCATTTTTTCTGTTTTCCATCTGATTAAAAATGCAATTTTATGCAAATTGGACTACGCGTGTATGATGTAGGCTATATTGAATTCTCGGTCATATATATTTCACATTATTTGAATAAGTTAAATAAATGAATAAATAAATGTTACCATAGTTGCTACAAACTGTAGTTGGTTCCAGCTCGAAGAAATAGAATAAACCGAATAAACACAGACCTATACCGATTATACCGATTACTTTCCTGAGAAGATTGTTTTGTTATCAAAAGGCAACCGTTTCGTCCTTATTATGATCGACAATACCGAGCAGGCTATCACTGTATATATTCTCGGAGGCTCAGCAGCGTATCCAGCTTTTGATGTCGGGGGGGGGGGGGGGCAACCGCACATCATCCGCGCCGAAATGTAGACATCTTTTTTTTCTACGGACACTTGCCCTCCCTAAAATCAAAAAGCAGGGGGGGGGGGGAGGCTGGTACCCATCTTCCATTATCACGGCGCATTGTAATGGTTGTTGAGCGGGTTTTCTTTGGTGGGATTGATGTCAGAAGAACTCTATAAACAATTGTTTAAATCATTGCTGACAAAAAATCTGCCGGGGGGGGGGGCCAAAGTTCCCCCCTGCCCCCCGCCCCGCTGGATACGCCACTGCGGAAGCTAAAAATAATGGCAAAAGCACGCTGCCAACAAAAGAAGCTACTTACCCTTAAGCTTGACGGATTATCTGAACAATATCTGGCACAAGTATGCCTCGCCATTGACGGGGGCCTCTGTTATGTGCCCGGACGTATGTAATTCTCACAGCCTTCGCATAAATGTCCGAAGGTTGGTGTAAATAACATTCTACCAAGACAGCTGCATCTTGACCTCTAGATTTTGACCAATCAGCGGGTGCTTTATCGGGTCTTCGGTCATTCACCCGTTGCGCGTCAAAGACAAAAAAACCTGTGTCACGCGCTCTGTATCATGTAAGTGCACGGTTCATACTTCCCGCGAAAGCGAAAGCGAAGCGAAATTCTATTGAGGGCGCTACACCGGCATGAGTTTGTTTACACTGGGTACAAAGTGTGTGTTGACAAAAGTGACTTCGCAACATTTTAGTTACTTCAAGTTCTACCACACGTGAGCTGTATCTGGACAAAGCCAAGGGTGACGATAGGAAGACCAGCAAGACTGGGAGTACTAGCAGCTGTCGTTTCGTTTGTTTTTTCGAAATTTCTCTCAAACGTAAGCGTTTCATTTTCAATTTCAGTTTGCACTTTGTGTTGATTGTCAATGTTTGTGTTGTCCAGTTTCCGGACGTTGCCGTAGCGTACTACCAACAAGTATTGTTGATGTACCCTAACGTGGCGCAGCCCCTAACGTGGCGCACTTTGATTTTTCGCCTGTAGACCCTAGTTGAAGCAAAAGTTTTAGCTGAAATGTCATTAAGTTCTAAACACTCCCGTTCATAAATCATGAGTTTATGTATACTATAGACTATACAGACTACCCGTACAAACTAGAAGAACAATTTATTTCGGCGTGATTTTCCGATTTTATTTCAAAGTGCACAGTGAACCCTTTGAAAATGTCCCCCCAAGAATAAAAATATAATTTTCTGATACACTTTTAGTTGGGTATGTATGTAGAGATAATGATGGTTTATCACAATTTATCAATTTTACAGAAATTCTTAAGTTAAATGTTTATTTGGAATTTTCCGAGATTTATTCAAGTGCGCCACGTTAGGGAACACTCGGCCGATTTTGTGCTCAAATTCCGGACGCCACCGTTTTTGAATTTCGGATTCAATTTCTTGACACCGCAACTGTTCACAGAGGTTAAATAGCAAGCATTAAGTTAAAAGTACCAGTATTTCACTGAATTAATTTGAAGTTTGTCATCAAAAAAGTTATGCATCACTACATGAGGAAAGTCGGGGTAAACGTCGAATTGCGCCATGTTAGGGAACACCACTACTCCACAACTTATATGTACTTAATTCAAGTTGACAACATTGTCAATGACTGAGTGACATTTGTTTCCTTCATCAACAGGTACACATTTTTTTCACGTTTGTAATACACAGGGTGACCGTAAAGTCAGAGCCAAATTCTGCTAAATGCACATCAAAACTCTGTCAGATTTATCAAAAATCTGCCGAATTCCCCAGAATTAAACACTAACATGCAGATTGGTAGTATTGCCTCAATTAAGATTCAAATTACATATTAAACAATCTAGTCCTTTTAAAGATGTTGTGAAATTATTGGTAAATTTCGGGTAAAACGCGGATCCAGCCACGACGAAGTCCGTTTCCCAGTGAACCTCAGCACCTAGACCAGCCAACCTGTCCCATTATGCAAGGGCTTGTTTGAAAGGATTGAAGCTTTTTCAAACAGATGTACACTTTTTTGTTCAAATTTGCTGTTTTTGTAGAATTCTGCCAGAAATCTGCCAAAAAATCCATTCTGTCAAATTTTCTGTCAAACTTGTTTTTTTAACAAATTATCTGTCAAAGTTAGCCGAAAATCGGCTAAAACGGTCACCCTGGTAATACAGGCACCGCTGTTTTCAGGGTGACATTAGGTTTGTGCGCATGTCCGTGCTTTAGCTCGTATAAAACGCCCTCTTGGGACCGAATGTATCCAGTCTCGTTTTGCGTAAAAACAGCTCAACGGAGGACGTCTTTTCAATCACCTTTTTATATTACAAATAAGTTTTTGATATTCGAGATATAACAATAAATCGACGGAAAAAGGACTTTACTTTTTTATCAGATAGGACTGTGAACTTTTTGGCAAGACACTTGATGAGGACACACCTACAAAAAACTGCCTTTGATTGCGACGTTTAGGCCTATAAAGGTCTCTATCGGAACAAAAATAATGGTCACATTTCGTGGGATTTTTCATCATCTTGGGAAGTTCATTCTGAATCAAGTAAAGTACCATTGGAAAGACTAAATAATGGAGAATATTGTTGTGGAAGACTTTTGAGAGCAAACCCTGATGGAGCCAAGTACGTAGCTATTAAATACATGTATACGCTAAATGTAAACAAACAGCGCCATATGTGCACAAATCCACAAGCAGGCACTACGCGTATTATATCCCCGTCCCTGTGAAATGTATACACGCGGGGCACGGGCCAATCACGCGTCGGCATGGTACGTTGTTTGAATTGCGAACCCCGGTACTGTGTTATATTGTGTAGATGAGTGCGAAAACCACACTCGGTTTTCAGTAAACCCACCAGGGAATCCCCCCATTTGCAGGCGAGTTTAGGTGTTTGCTCTTTTGAAATCACCGTTAATACAAAATTTAAAGTCTAATGGATTGGGAACTTACTTGATTGCAGAAAAAAACTTAATTTTTGACCCTTTTTCCGCTGGTAGCTGGCTTTCGTTCAGTGAAATACAGACTACAGACTAGTCGCACTGGGCACAGTGACTCTGCAATAAATATTGCACCGTGTGAATTTCCGAATTGTTTTTTTTCCCCAGTTTATTTCAGGTTTTTCCTAAATTGCTCAACCGATCTGAAAATCGCAATGCAAAACCGAAAAAAGACCAGACTGAAATGATGAACCAACCAACCTGGCCGGTTTCAGGTCGGTTCGTTTTGCTTTTGGGTTAGCTTTGCTCAACACTTGAGCCTAGACATCCGGGAGCTTGTTACATTGCCCTGTCAAGTTCCCAGATCAATTTACCAAAAAGTTACTCAATGGTTCTCAAGTTCTTGAGTGTAGTTTGAATTTTGACAAGTCATCGCAACTGATGAAAACTGATTGTGCAAATGAATGCTTTCACCGATGGATGTTATCCCGCCCAGCACCCACACCTATAACTTTAGAAAAAAATATGAAAGCTCACAAAGAGACCTCAGGATGCCACATTCTGTGAGGTTTAACTTTTTCCTTGTATTCGCAGATCTTCTGTCACTTCCAAGTAGTGGCAAAATCTCGGTCGGAGCATGACTGAAGTCGATAATGATGAGTTTTGGAGACAGATGTGGGTGGACGACGAAATCGGGTTCCACAAGTCGGAAGTTCATCCGTGAGTAATACTTGGTTTTTTTTTTATTGCTGGACACAAGGCAAGCTCATAGGTTCAAAATCATGGCATGATATTTTCAGACTTTAGTCTGATAATGAAATCATACTTTTTTGAGAAAGACATTATCAGTAAGAAATGCTGCTTTTTTAATTTCGGATTTTTTGTTTTAAACTGTCAATTTCATGGCTGGAATGGCTCAATAAATGTGTCTAAAATACTGGACTTCCTCCATATGTAAATCCACACAGCAATGCATGCTTAATTTCCTGAAAAGTTGTGTCTCCTGATTTTAAAATGTAGACTGTTTTTTTCACTTGGTATTCTCTATGGACTTGACATTTCTGATAAATAAACCAGTGAGAATCAAAAGGTCAAAGCTACAATGTACGTACATGTACATGACAAATGACCTTGAGAAAATACTGCAGTCATTTTGGACAAAGTCTCTGCAAATTTCCCCTGAAAACTACAGGATTACTAGAAACATCTAGAAACTACTGCAGGTATAGAATTGGATTCTCCTGTTATTTACCAGGTTGTAGGGAGCTTTAATAATGAATATCAAATGGGGAAAACAATTCTAGAGTTTGAATTCAGGAAAGAAATTTTTTCCCCAGAAATGTAGCATGTATCGCAGTGTGGCTCTAAAATACAGAGAAAGTCCAGTATTTGGGACATATTTATGGGGTTAAGGTGCTGGTTGCAAACTAGAAATTAATTTCCCACTTCTTACATTTTGGCATGGTGTAATTACAAATTTTCAGAATCCTCGTGAAATATATTGCCGAGTTGACTGCCGGACAAGGGAAATGCCGGATCTTCGTTCCGCTGTGTGGAAAGTCAAAAGACATGAAATGGTAAGAATGGAAATAATGCTACCTTGTTGTTACATCCCAACTATTAGGCCATCAGCCGGGGGGTTTGGCCAGTATCAAATCAGGGCATAAAATGATTATAGTGCGCATGCGCAAGGTATACCGCCCCTAGAGTGGTAACAAGCATTTTGATGGACATTTTGAAAAAAAAGGGTGATAGCACCCAATAAGCTGCCACCGCTGCAATGCTATCACATAGTTTCCAACTCTGGAGGTGTATACCTTGCCAAAAATCGCTATGACGATTATTCCCCTCATTTGATACCGGTGGCCAAAATTTTGGACCGAGGCTGATGGCCTATATAGCATGGTCCAGTACGAGGTCAACAGACCTTATTCATGAGGAATCCATCTTCCATCATGTTCCCTGAATCCATTTTATAAATTGTAAACTGTTGTTTAGGATGGTACCATACTATTTCATGGCTAGATTGCGTTTCAAGCCTCACTTTCAATTTATTTTTTTAAATGTGGCTTAAAGGGAAAATACAACATTTGCAAACATCAAAAAATGAAGTGATCAAATTATCATGAAATACCTTACTGGATTGTTAGGGAATGACAGTCAAAAGCAGCCTGTAAAACTGTGGCTCCTGGTGTGCTGACATTTTGAAGAAAACTTGTATTTTTCCAACGATGGTTGGCCGACCAGCGTTGGAGAAAACTGGCTTTTTTTCAAAAAGTGCTCCTCACTTTTAATATTTTGTTCTTCCGCATTGTCTTTGCAATTGATTACACACCTGTGAAGGGGTACATGCCTGCTAGACTGATTCTTTGACATTACAATTCCCCAAAGTCTATAAATGGTTCCGTTTCATCTTAAGTGGGGTCAGGAAGCCAGACCACAAGAATATGGTGGATTTTCTTGGATTTTCCAGCATCTCCGAACCCAAAGTGTGAAGCAAGACAGTTTAACAATATTTGCTATAACATATTAATCCTCCAAATCCATTTATTTCTGAAAATTGCAGCAAAAGTAAATGTTGTACATTCCCTTTAAAACAGGGTATGCTTAATTAATAATCAGAGCATACATGTAATGGTATTAATTTGCAATGAACTTTTATTTCATTGCTTTAATTTCTACTCGCAATTTCCAAAAATGAAGAGTTTACCTCGCTTTCGATTTAATACGGCCAACTCAGGAATAAACTCTATAGCTGACTTGTGCCCATTTTAATACTATTTGAAGAAAAAAAGCTGTTTTCCACAATCATTTGTTTGGGTGATTGTTGGGTTTGCTGATTGTTTCAAAATGGTAGGAAAGTCTTTTGGTCTTTAAAATGACAGTATACCTGGGGCGGATTGCAATAACGCGGTCTTAGTCGGCTGGCTAAACCAGTCCGATTTTAGCCGGCTGTTGTTCTTAGACGGTCTTGGTTAAGACACCAAACTTAGCCCATTGCAATAAGCTGGTCTTTACTAAGCCCGCTTAGAGTAATGATTCACAAACAAACATTCCATGGTTACGGGCGAATACTGGAGAGACTGCACATTTTTTTTTTTTTTTAGGTTTGTGTGATTCATATCATGCGAAATCAAATGTCAATTCCGAAATTTTATGTTGAGAAAATTGTATTTGCAGTACAACTCAGTGTCATTACATTTTTCCAGAAGATCCCTTCTATCCCAGAGAATTTTCCCTCCAAGCAGTGTTCTGCTTTTTTAAGATTTAATAATCAAACACTCATCAACTGGGAAAAAAATATTTTGGGAAAGAATAATTCATTACACCAGTGAATTCCAAAAATCCCAACAATAGACCGTTTTAAGCCAGCCCAACCCAGGCTAACTATTTTAAGACTGTCTTAATACTTAGACCGTGTCATTGCAATGGTCTAACTTATAGACTGACTGACAGCCAGAGCTTTTAGACTGTCTAATGCGCATAGACAGCTTTAAGACCGGTTATTGCAATCCGCCCCAGGCGGTATGATTCCACAAGTTGCTTGATTTTGTACTATTAATAATTATACCAAAAATTATTGATTTCCTCGAGTGGTGCAGTAAAAAAATTAGCATGATTTCAATGTCTAGGCTGGCTGATCAAGGCCACACTGTCGTAGGAGCGGAGCTGTCGGCTCTTGCGATTCAAGATTTCTTCAAGGAGAACAAAGTGGAATTTACCTCCAGCCCAATGGAAGGAGTCAGTGATGCCGATCTGTACAAGGTATGCTGCATTCACAGTAGGCAGTCTCAAGTCATTCACAAATGAATGACAATCAATCAAGAGTTAAATTGATGATCAATCCAAAGTAAATCAAACTTAAGTCTCAGGGCAATCACAAGTCAATCACAAGTCAATCTTAAGTCAATTGCAAGTCAATCACAAGTCAATCACTAGCATGATCACGAGTCAAGTACAAGTAATGAAGGTCATCATTCGTATGTTTAAAGCGTACTTGAAACAAGCTCCCGTTTACATCACGGACATGCTCCAAATTAGTTCTCAACAGAGACGACTTCGATCAACAACCTCCTATTCACTACACTTTGTTGAGCCCAGAACCCCTTGTGTCTCTTTTGCTGATAATCATTTTCTGTATACGGCCCCAGAATCTGGAACAAAGTTCCAGAATTCATTAGAGAAACCACCTCACTGCATACATTCAAGACACTCCTGAAAGCTCACCTGTTTCAGGAGGTGTACCACCAATAATTTTTCTTCTTTTTGGTGCCCCATCAGTGCCTTAGAGCAAACTTTTTGATTTTAGCGCTTTATAAATTTCTATTGATTGATTGATTGATATTAAGTCAGCCAAAAGTCAATCAGAAAAGTCAGTCACAGACTAAATCACAAGTCAGATGACAAGTCAATCCCAGCTGAATTGCAAGCCAAACACTGGCTAAAGCACAAGACATCAATCACAAGTCAATGATAAGATCACAAGTCATTCACAAGCCAGATCACATGTGAACCACAATTCAGATTGTCACTAACGTCGCAAATAACGCAGGTATCATAGCAGTTTATATTATATTCAATTTTATTGTTCATAATTTGATTTTTTTTTTAAGAGTAAAGACGACAGTATTCATCTCTACAAAGCAAACATCTTTGACTTGAAGAGGTAAGGCTGGCAAAGACAATTATCTGAATTCTTTTTTCCAAACATGTTTCCTATAATAAAGACCGGTTACTTTTGAATCTGTCAGTTTTGGTGTATGGATTGGGTATCAAATCATCATCATCATCATGAGACGTTGTAGGCTACCATACTGCCCATTGACGCAACAACCGTCCACTTCTGAGTTTTTTGGCTGGTGCAGGGGTAATTTGGCATCGGGGCAGTGCTGGCGCAGTTAGTTCAGCCAAGCTGAGGCCACTCCACTTGGTGAGGCCTTCGATCCAACAGAGTTTGGGTCTGCCGACGGTTTCCAAGTGGGGTTCCATCAAGCACTGCCGCTGCAAGACCACCAGTCGCACTGCATGACCAAGCCAAGCAGCGTTCTGTTCTCGGATTGTGTCGGCAGAAAGACACCATCTGTCGCTGATCAGTGGTTTGAGGCTCTCATTTGAAACAAAGTCTGACCAGCAGATTCCAAGTAGCTGCCGCAAGATGTATCTTCTAAAGCTGTCTATGTGCTGGATTGATACACTAAGTGATTTGAATTTTCTTTGCTTGCAGAGATACCATCGGAGAATTTGACTGCATTTGGGACCGTGCGTCGTTGGTTGCATTGCTCCGTGAGGATCTTCAAAAGTATGTCCTTTTACTCGTGCTTGCAGTGATAAATATGTTGTTTTTGCTGAAATAACAAATTTAACCATGTTATAAACTCACAATGCTAAAGAAAATGTCCATCATACTCAATTACTTATCCGCTTTGTTCACAAGTACCCCCTCACCGGCAAAGAAGGAACAGTTGGGGGTGACCGACCGACGCCATCTTGCCTGACTGCAATTTTGCTGCGACGCGCGGCCGTACCACTGCGTGTGTACATACATGTAGTACAAATCCCCTGGTGTACGTGCGTCACACACAAGGAACGGTGCACGTCAACCAGCTAACTGTCCCGCCCATGGGACGTCGTTGCTAGGTAAAAGGGCGCCCTCTTTCATTGGCGCACGGAGCCCATAGTATAAAGAGTTTGTTTCCAGAACAAGATACACGCTTACCTTTATACTGCCCTTTGCTGGTTACTCCCAAAGTCAGTTACTATGGCTGTAAAGTTGTTCAACACAATTTAAGACTACTATCAAGTGAAATATGAAGTTTAGAAATGGCTGTTTTACTGTGTATGTTCTATAATTTTCAGAAACATCAACATTTTTCACTTTTTTTGTGTTTGCTTTTTCAAATAGATATGTCACATTTTGAAAATAAATTCCTGTATATTGCTGAACTATTGGAAATGGGGTTTCGTATGTGGGTTATGATATCACAGTGTTATCATGACAGTGTCTGATTCCTTAGAAAATGCATTCTGATCATTAATGCTCACTGGTTCTAATTCCTATTTGCACACGCCGCATTTTAAAAATAATTACAAGTCTTTGTATATATTTCTGAACTTTTGGAAATTTGGTTCACATTTAGGGTTGATATCATCGCAGCTTCATCATGACAGTGTCTCATTTGGATGAAAATGTATTTTCTTATCCTTGATGCTTAATATTGGTTCTGATTCCTGTTCAGATATGTCGCATTTTGAAAATAAACGCTTCGTATATTTCTGAACTATTGGAAGTTTGGTAAACATTCAGGGGTGATATCTTCGCAGTGACCTTATCATGACAGTGTGTCATTTGGATGAAAATGTATTCTTATCCTTGATTCTTATTCGTTCTGTTTCCTATTTTTACAGATATGCCGATCAGATGAGATCACTTCTGAAACCAAAGGGCAGATGTCTTCTGGAACATTTTGACTATGATCAAAGTAAAATGAATGGTAAGTCATTTTTGTTTAGTGTTTGTGTAGATTTAGTACATTTAGTACGTTTTAATGTGTTGATCCATAATGTGGCTTGACTAGTTTTGTAAAAGTTTTTATGATTATAAGAATATGCATATATCTATCTAATATCAGTATAAGTTGATTAATATTAACTTATACTAGTGAGGTTTGCAGTGACACCATGTGGAATAATCTCTTTTTTAGTAGTGTGGTTCTGAAAAGAACCGGTTGGTTGTGAAACTCGACATTCTCATCAGTATGCCATCAGATTGTCTTCAGTCTGAAGACACTTCGTCTCAAAAGAGATTATTCCACATGGTGTTACCATAAACCTCACTAGCATACACTACCACCATGCAAATTTTCAAATCTTATTGAATATTAACCCAATAATTACATTCTTTTCTTTACGTTAAGGTCCCCCATTTTCAACCCCAGCAAGTGTAGTGGAAAAACTTTATGGTGAGAGCAACTTAATTGTAATTACCTAATTGTATTAATTGTGGTTACGTTTTATACATGTTCAGGGTGAGTCGAAAAAAGGGAAACCCAAATGTCGGGGCCATTGTTTAAGTGAAGTTCTGCATGTAGCACTTTTAGAATCTAGGATATGAAAGCCCAATTCATAAGCTTTGTTTTAGTAGAAGAATCATTCAAATCACTTTATGTACTTTTAAAGTTACGGAATTTTAGACACAACGACCGTTCTGTTCACGGATCACAAAAAAAGGTGTGCGTTCTTTCAGCAAAACGAAAAACAATTCACTCACATCCCAATGTGATTTTGTTTTGTTTTGCTGAAAGAACACTTACCTTCTTGTGATCCGTGGACAAAACTTTAAAACAGTGGTTGCATTTAAAATTCCGTAACTTGAAAAGTACAGGAGTGATTTGAATGATTCTTGTACTAAAATAAAGCTTAAAGATTGGGCTTTGATATCCTAGATTTTGCAAGTGCCACATGCAGAACTTCACTAAAATAATAGTCCCAACATTTGGGTTTCTTTATATATATTGTTAATACCTGCGAAATAAATGAAATAAAAAAGGTATTTAGAGGCAGAAACCTCAGTGTTACAGCTACATGTATTTACTACTTCCGCGCCCTAAGTTGCCCAAAGTTTGCATTTCTTGCTGTTTGGTGAATTTTCTGTTCTTTTTGTTGGTAATCGTTGCTTCATGACAGTATAATGAGCAGACTTGACAACCACTAAACTGGACAGAATGTTGTCACAGCAACAGAACCCTTAGTTGTCAGGAAAAAAATGCTACATTTGATTTGTAAAATAATGCACTTCGTGAAAATGTGACCTAAAAAAGGAATGCCTCAAATTGTCCATACATTTTAATTAGATGAATGGAAATTGCTCAAAATTTATGTACCAGTATAAAATTCTGATGTATGGTCCTTTGTAATTTATTATTGACGTCACTTTGCACATTTCCACATATTCTTAAGATGTTTTTCCCCTTTTTTTTATTTTTTTTGCTTTTTAAGCTGAAGGCTGGGAAATCAAAGCACTACAGGTTACAGACGATGGCGGACTGAAAGAAGCATTTCGCAGCAAAGGGCACGAGTACTTCAAGGTACAAATAACCTTGCTGACCAAGGAATAACTATTGTCAGATGATGACAAAGCTGTAGATGATGACAAGCAGATGATGACAAGTGTGTAGTTATAAGACTAGCAGCTGCAGCTGATTAGCAAGGAAAGAGAGTGAGTGACTGATATCAGGCCTTCAGATCAGATATTAACCCTTACCCTACTAGACCCTCCAACGCATGCCAATATGTGCCTCAAGAAAATCTCCTATGTTTTTTGCATGGCCCTCCAATATCTGCCATGTCATTTCAAGGGTAACTGGACAGGCACTCCAATACATGCCACAGAGAACAATGAGAGTCCTCTGATAACAAAGTGAGTGCCCCCAGCTGGTCAGTATCAGGCACCCTCCAGGGCCTCCAACTCCTGCCAATTGGAGCCTTCACTGTTAAGACAAACTATCTGCCAATAAACTGCAGCTGGAGGGCATTGGCATAACCAACTGACATGCAGTAAACTACCCTCAGAGAGTAAGGGTTAAAGTGAATCAGTTGGTTTATAACAAGAACAACGATCTGATATGGACCTGAGAAATACCGTAGCTGGAAAATGAACTGATTTTTGTGAGGACACGTGTTGATATGACTGGGCGACTTTATACTTGAAAACAGAGCAACAATTGGTGTGAACTCATAGGAGTTATTCCACTGTTTAAGAAAGGAAGTGTTTTATTCATTACAGAGCCAGTGAACCACGAGATCTAATTATTGATTCAGAGAAACGATCCAGCACTCCTAGTCTGTAATCTCCCTGACCATTACTGGATAATGAGGGTATGAGATTTGAAAAATACATTTTCAGGTTTATTCCTGAGAAAGGAAGTGTTTTATCCATTACAGAGCCAATGAACCATGAGATCTAATTATTGATTCAGAGAAATGATCCAAAACTCCTAGTCTGTAATCTCCCCGACCATTACTGGATGACGGAGGTAAAAACATTTTCAGGTCTATTCACTGAGCTCTTAAAGGGAATATACAACATATGCAAACATCGAAAAATAAAACTACCAAGTTTTTACGAAATACCTTACTAGGATGTTGATAAATGACAGTCTCAAGCATCTTGTAAAATTATGGCACCTGGTGTGAAGTCATTTTCAAGAAAATGGTATTTTTGTATACATTTTCAACGGTGGTCCGCCGACCAGCGTTGGAAAAACCTAACTATTTTTCAACTATTGCTCCAAATTTACCATTTTTTCAGTCCAAATTTTGTTTGCTATTGGTTACATGTTCATGAACGGGTGCAGGCCAGCTAGACTGGTTCCCTTGCCATACAATTGTCCACCATCTATAAATTGATCCATTTTATCTTTTGTGGAGTCAGGGAACCAGACTACTTGAACATTTTTGTTTTTCCTTGGTTTTTCCAACCTTTTCGAACACAAAACTTCAAAAATGTCAGTGTAACAATATTTGATCTATTATACTAACCCCTCAAATAGTTCATTTCTGAAAATTAGAGCAAAAGCCAATGATGTACATTCCCTTTAAGAGTTCTGTCATGGACATTACATAACGCTGGAACTGCCCCCAGATATGCAGACTGCAGATTAACATGGACCTATAGTGGATCCAGCAATCAGAATTAGAAGCTTTTACTGCGGTGGTGTCACGCTCAAGCGCATGCTTCTTATAGATGAGGCATGCGCACATTTTGGTATTCATATATCCATGCTCACTTTTTGTCTGTGAACGTCTTGGTACTGAACACTGGTGACGAGTCTAGTCACAGAGTGCTCCCGCATTTGAAATTAAATTGTTATCTCCGTGATACATACTTGATTGATTGAAGGGAGCTTGAGGTCAACAACTTAATTTTTTTTAATAGTCGTCAAACGGCAATCTTTTCAATATATTGTAAATTGTAGTGCTTTGTTTTCTTTCGAAATAGCCATTAGGGCCTATTGCTCTTGATTGTATGGGCCCAGACAGAGCACAATAGGACGTTTAATACACACGATGTAGACGTGGTGCCCGGGTGTGCTGTATTCTCGTAAAATCTCAGAGGTTTTTGAGGCTAATTACTCTCTATTAGTGAATACTTTTTCTGCTGCCTGATTAGCCTGAAAAATGCATGTGAGAACGAACTTATTTACTAGATAGCAACACATTGATGAAAGCGTGGCCCGGAACATGAACCAATTATGAGACGATATAAGAAGAATGAGTCTAGACGTATATGTGGACTGCAACATTAACAAATCAAGACCACGCTTGGAATTGTAGACCGATTTGATAACATTATTTTGTATACAAGTGTTGATCGGGAAAGGGAACTGAACGTAATTGATTTTTTGCCTGTAGAGCAATTGTTAAACTTTTACATTAGGCATTGTACTTGTTTGCTTTTACAGATTGTCAAAATTGTATTGCACATGTAGAAGGATTATGGAAGCGTACATGTATATGTATATACAGGAATAAAATGTGATTATTGAATAGACAGACAATAACATCTGATCTCCTGGTGTATTACAGTGCATTTCTGTCATCGCTTTACATGCACAATAAGGCATGATGGGAAACAACATGGCGCAGCAAGATCGAACCCATGGAAACGAGGTTGGTCTTTTTACTCTTTATCTGTGCACTGCACGCCCTACATGCGCTCGCACCCGCCCTGTGCATGTGCACGTCACGTCCCGTACGAACATTATTTTTCTTTTCCAAACCGAGCGATGCCTGTACGATATGGATTATGGTAGCCTTGGTTTTTGCCCCCCCCCCCAAAAAAAAACCCATGTATCTTCGGTTGTAAATGGACGAAAGGTGTACGTACATTTTGTCAGACCCCCTAAAACGACGTGGTCCTATTTCGACGCACTCGCATTCAATTTACGTTGGACAAAAAAATGCGCGCGCGTTGCATAACGCGACATCGAAACCTCGTGTTTAAAAGGATGGATTCTTTAAAAAACAACAACCCTATTTTCAACAGAGTCGTTTATTAGATACATGGACTGCAGTCCTAATTTAAATTTCTTATTAGACACATTTAAATTAGACAATTCCAGCAGGGGTTAAGATTTCGCAAGGCATGATGAGAAACAACCAGGCCCGGATTAGGTGTTTCGTAGGCCCTAGGCCCCGTCGTTCCGTAGGCCCTATACTCCGCCCAAGGCACCGGTGTAGCGTGAATATCCGACTCCATGAAATGTGGACTCATTGGTAGTACTGCGCACGCGTGAGTACGATACCATGCTATTTTAAGGATCGTTTCGGGAGAGTGACCTGTCACGTGCGAGGGATCAACCAATAATAGGGAAATAGGGGTCCGATTTTCATAGGAGTCGGATTTTCATGTGACACCGGCACCAAATTCAAAGTACAAACCACTGTACAAATCAAGCCAGGCCAAACCTGTATAGGTCCTAGCTCTATAAGCAGCGGCAAAGGGCGTCAAGGCTTCTCAAAAGTGGGGGTGGTACATAAAGTGTATCTTGATCAGAACTATAATGAAGCCTAAACGGCGTGGCCCGCTGAAGGGCCCCGAAAACAAAATGGATTCTAGACGCTCTGTCATGCGATCTGAGACAATTTCTGACCACTTTAACCAATATTTGTTTCAGCAAAAGATCATCATTTTCGAATTTTGAGTCATTGAATCAGCTATTCTGAGCTATAGAATAAAAATGCAAAATGTAGGTCACAATTTTGTTTATTCAGGGACGAAAATAGTTGGGGAGGGGTAACGTTATGTTCCCCCCATCGACGCCCATGGTTGGCACCGCGCTTTGCACGACATATATTTTACACGTATAAGTAGGGCCTACATGACGCCTATACAAGATGTAGGCCTACATTGTATAGCCTCAGTTGGTGAAATCGAAAATTCTGAGAGACCCTAAAACTGTTTAAATACTGTTTTAAAAACTGTTTTCTGCGTGAGTGCGTGTTGGTAGGCCTATATGTGTTTTATGGCACACTGCAGTATTTTCGTAGGCCCCAACGTTTTCGTAGGCCCCCGAGTGCGGCCTGGAAACAACATCATCGAGGCGCTTGCGTCAAGTAGATCTGACATTGCACACTCTAAGTGTCCTCCACTGCTCCCTGTCGGATGCCACGTGCCAGTGTCGATCTTTGATGTTGAATCTGGTGGTTGTCAGTTCCGTGTTCACTCTTTTCGGCGACGTGGTTCGTTGTCCACCTCTTGGCAGCTTGTTCTCGCGGATCGCCTCTGAGAAGCGCTTGCTTGGCAGGAGTTTCCTCGGGTAGTCTCTAGCTCAGGAGATGGCCTGTCCACCTAAGACGTCTTCTGGTAATGGCTATACTCCAAGTGATCCTGTAGTTTTCTTGTAGAGTTCTTTAATTGAGATCTTCTTTGGTCATGTAATACCAAGTATTGAACGCAAGAGCCTTCTGTGAAATGCATCAATGTTCTCTTCTGTATAGTTACTTAGTGTCCATAATGTCACTTTTGTACAGAAATACGGAAGATATGAAGGCACGGAATGTTTTGAGTTTGTGTTGGAGATTGCATCACTGTTGGAGATTCCTGAATTTGTTGAAAGACGCTATCGAAAGCATTTTCCTCCTGAAGAAGTATGCATTTCTTCCAACTGGTGTTGCTTCTGTTTCTACTGCCCTATCTTAGAAATGTTTACCGTGAGGTTTTGCTCTTTTACTATACCTCAGGTGCCTTCCTCTCCACAGCTGCTATCTGGTGAACCGATTGTTACTTAATAGTGATGTCATCAGCAAACTGTAATCCCGTAGTATACGGGCGGGCAATTGGCGTAGCTGTGTGGTTCTCAAGTTACAAAGGAAGGGATTGGGACTGTGTGCGAGCAGTAACTATGATCCTGAACTTAGTGAATGGTGTCTCGGGTGTTTCCGACGGCGGGTCTTGTTGTCTCAGTGCAGAGACGAGCGAAAAAAATATATACTTAACCATTTCTCTATTGAGGGCGCTAAACTGGCATGTGTTTGTTTACGTACCGTACTATATACATGTATACATGTGCCGAGTACAAAGTGTGTGCATAACCGTGCTGAGTACAAAGTGCGTGTTGACGAAAGTGACTTCGCAACACTGGTTTTACATGTGACCTGTACCCTGAAAAAGACCTGAAAAAGGGTGATATGATACTTGACGATAGGAGTACCAGCAAGACTGGGAGTACTAGCAGCCGTCGTTTCGTTTGCTACTTGGAAGTTTCTCTGACTCTCAAAACGTAAGCGCTTCATTTTAAATTTCAGTTCATTTCTTTGTCTGGGTTTTGTCCAGTTTCCGGACGTAGCCTTGGAATACTAGTCTGCTAGTAGTCTACTACAACTTTCAAGTTCAAGTTACATACATGTACAAAATAACAGTATACACGTTGAGGCTCCTAATGTAGCCTACTTTAACAAAGCACTTTTAACAGATTACAGCATCTTGATGCCACTTTTCTACCACTTGAATGAGTATATTCAATATTGTTTAGCATTGTAACTTTAGCCCAGTAAATGTGGCCAATTTACTGGACCACTGCCGTGAATAAGGCAACACTTGGAATATGTACCCAAAATTTGTCAAAAAAATTGAAGAAAAACCGACGCAAACCGGACGGAAACCTACCCGAAAATATTCGTCTCTCTGTATGCTGTACCAGGCGCCGCGCCACTTACAACGTTGGGCTGCATGTTATAGACAGTGTGCACAGTGACCCTGCAATATTGCACGGTGAGAATTTCCGAACGATATCGGTTTTTTTTTAAGTTTCAGTATTTTTTGGTTTTTCCTAAATTGCTTAACTGACTCGAAAATCACAGTGCAAAACCAAAACTGACCCTAGCCCCACTAGTGTGGCCGTCGGTATGCTGCGCTTGGGTTCAGCGCAGCATACCGACGGCCACACTAGTGGGGCTAAACTGACCCGACTGAAATGATGGACAAACCGACCCGACCCAACCAGAAGTCGGTTTCTGTTTCGGGTCGGGTTTGCGCAACACTTGAACCCGGATATCGGGGAGCTTCTTACATTGCCATGTTAAGTTCCGAGACCAATTTACTTAAAAGTTACTCAATGGTTCTTGAGTCTGAGTGCAGTTTAGTGACTCATCACAACTGATGAAAACTGGTTGTGCAAATAATTAATGAATAGCTGTTTTCACCGGTGGACATAATCCCACCCAGACCTTAAAACAAAAATATGAAAGCTCACAAATTAAAGAGAAATCAGGAAGCCACATTCTTTATGAAAGGTTAATGTTTCCTTGTATTTGCAAATCTTAGTTCCAAGTAGTGGCAAAGTTCTCGGTCGGAGCATGACTAAAGTCGTTGATGATGAGTTTTGGAGGCAACTTTGGGTGAACGACCAAATCGGGTTCCACGAGTCGGAAGTTCATCCGTGAGTATTAACAGGTTTTTTTTTATTGCTGGACACAAGGCAGGCTCATTCATGTAGGTTCAAAATCCCAGCATGACATTTTTGTCAGACTTAAGTCTGAAATCATACTTTTTGAGGACATTTTTTACTATAAGAAACACTACATTTTGTCCAATTTTCATTTTTTCGAACAGACTGAAATCATACTTTTTGAGGACATTTACTGTAAGAAACGCTACTTTTTGTTCAATTTTCAGATTTTTTCGAACAGACAATTTCATCCCTGAAATGGTTCAATATATATAAATTTTGATTTTAATAATTTTATGGTCTAATTACTTTGTGTGTATCTTGTCGTGTTTGACCTTTTCTAATGTGTTTTCACTTGGCGTAATTCTCTGTAATTTTAAGATGTAACAATTTTTAATGTGTGTAAATTAAACTGCAATTCGGCCTTTTGGCCGTCACGGTGAATGTTTAACAAAATGATTTATAATAATAACAATAATACCATTTTTGTACAAAGTCTTTGCAAATTTCCCCTGAAACTACAGGATAACTAGAAAATAGAACCTACTACGTGTATAGAATTAGATTTTTCCTGTTATTTCCAGATAGGTAGGGAGCTCAATAATGAATAGCAAATGGGGAAAGCAGTTCTAGAGTTTGAATTCAGGAAAGACATTTCCCCCCTGAAATTGAGCATGCATCGCAGTGTGGCTCTTAAGTCCAGTATTTGAGACATAGTGGGGTTAAAGTGCTGGTTGCAAGCTGGAAATTTATTTCCCACTTCTAACACTTTGGCATTGTTTAATTACAAATTTTCATGTCAGAACCCTCAAGAAATATATTGCTGAGTTGACTGCCGGACAAGAGAAATGCCGGATCTTCGTTCCGCTGTGTGGAAAGTCAGAAGACATGAAATGGTAAGAGTGGATAAAATGCTAACTTGTTGTTACATCGATCACAACCATAGGGGGGGGGGGGGGCTGCCCGATAGTCCGAGGTCCGATAGTCCGAAGGTTCTTTAGTCCAAAAGTTTGATAGTCCGAATGCACAAAAATTCCATAAGAGGGGATTCGTTAGTCCGAAAATGAAATAAGGTTCGTTAATCCAAACATTTGATGCAATAGTCTGAAGGTTCATTAATCCGAAGGTTCATTAGTCTGAAGGTTCATTTGTTCGAAGGTTCGGTAGTCCGAATTTAGAATAAGGTTAATCAGTCCGAAGGTTCGCTGATAGTCCGAAACGAAAATAAGGTTTAATAGTCCGAAGGTTCATTATTCCGAATTCACAATAAGGTTCGATAGTCCGAAGAGACTATAAGGTCCGATAGTCGGAATCGACAATAAGGTCCGATAGTCCGAATCAACAGTAAGGTCCAATAGTCTGAAGTGTCAGACTGACGAACCATATATTGTCCATTCGGACTATATCGAACCTTATTGTCAATTCGGAATATCGAACCTTATTGTCAATTTGGACTATCGAACCCTACCATAATATATTCGGACTATCGAACCTCATCATCTATTCGGACTATCAAACCTTATTGTCGATTCGGACTATCGCGCCCTATCGTCTATGCGGACTAATGCCTCACAGATTCGGCCTAAATTTAATAGACAACTGATTAATTTAACCAAAATCCAATTAAAAGGTAGTTTTTATTTCGATGTGAAATTAGGAAATATGTACTTGCTGTTTCCAAACTACCGCTTCATAAAATGTTTGAACCCAGCTCTGTAGAGTGTATGCACAACTCTCATAAATCGCTGTGCGTAAAATTACAGCCATTGTTTAGTCACATGGCTGCGCACACCAGCACAAAACTAAAAAAATAACAATTGGCATGTGACTCGCTCTATCTCGGCCAATCAAGATACAGAATATCTGGGTGTGGTGTTATATGATATTTGCTAACAACGGAGTAATCTGTGTCACAATAATTTGACAATTTCATTTTCGGGTTTCTGCACTGCAATGACTGTTCAACATGCGCATCATTTCAATGTAGGCTGGCTGATCAAGGCCACACTGTTGTAGGAGCGGAGCTGTCGGCTCTTGCGATTCAAGATTTCTTCAAGGAGAACAAAGTCGAATTTACCTCCAGCCCTATGGAAGGAGTCAGTGATGCCGATCTGTACAAGGTATGCTGCATTCACAGAAGACAGTCTCAAGTCATTCACAAATGAATGACAATCAAAGTTGAATAGCTCGTCAATCAAAGTTAATCAAAATTCAGTACAAGTCAATCGGAGGTACATGTAAGTCAGTCGCAGGTCAATCACAAGTCAATCACAAGCCAATCACAAGCATGGTCACAAGCCAAACACAAGCATTATCACAAGTCAAGTGATAAGCCTGCCTAAAGTCAAATCAGAAAAGTCATCACAGACCAAATCACAAGTCAGACCACAAGTCAATCGCAACTGAATGCAAGGCAAACACATCCTAAATCGCAAGGCATAAATAAGTCAATCACAAATGTTAGATCACAAGTGAATAACAAATCGGATTATCAGTACCGTCACAAATATCACAAATAGCATTGCAGTTTGTTTTATATTCAATTGTTAATTTGTGTTTTTTTGTTTTTAAAGAGTAAAGATGACAGTATTCATCTCTACAAAGCAAACATCTTTGACTTGAAGAGGTAAGGCAGGCAAAGCCATCATTGTCTGAATTTTTTCCCAAACATATTTCCTAAAAAGACCTGATTGAATTTGTCAGTTGTGGTGTATGGTTTGGGTATCAAACTCAACATGAGATGTCGTAGGATACTGCCGGATGACGCAAGAACCGTCCTCTTCTTTTGAGTTTTGTGGCTGGTGCAGGGGTAATTTGGCGTCGGTGCAGTGCTGCAGCAGTTAGTTCAGCCAAGCTGAGGCCACTCCACTTGGTGAGGCCGTGGATCAAGCGGAGTTTGGGTCTGCCGACACCGGGACGGTATCGAAGTGGGGTTCCATCAAGCACTGCCACTGCGAGACCACCCGTCGTACCGCATGACCGAGCCAAGCGACTTTCTGTTCTCGGATTGTGTCGGCAGAAAGACACAGACTGTCGCCAATCAGTGTTTGAGGCTCTCATTTTGAGACGAAGTCTGACCAGCGAATTCCTTTTAGCTGCCGCAAGATGTTTCTTCTAAAGCTGTCTATGTGATTGATTGATAATTTGAATTTTCTGTGATTGCAGAGATATGATTGGCGAATTTGACTGCATTTGGGACCGTGCGTCGTTGGATGCATTGCTCCGTGAGGATATTCAAAAGTACGTCCTTTTTCTTGTGCTTGCAGTGATATGTTCTACATGTATTTGCTGAAATACAAAATTTAACCACGTTAAACTCACATTGCAGAGAAAAATGTCCATCATACTCATTAAGTCATAGTATTAAGAGTTTGCTTCCGAAACGAGATAAACGCTTACCTTTTAGAATACTGCCCTCTGCTGGCCGCCCAAAGTCATTTACTACAGCGGTATTAGCTTAGCACAATTTAAGAATACGATATAGTGACATAGGTAGTTTAGAAATGGCTGTAATGCCGTGTATGTTCTATTAATTTTTAAAAACGTCCAGCTTGTTCACCTTTTTTTTGTGTTGACTTTTTCAAATGGATATGCCACATTTTGAAAAGAAATTCTTCGTTTATTTCTGAACTATTGGAAACGGGTTTTCGCATTTGGGGATGATATCTCAGTATTACCATGGCAGTGTCTCATTCGGTCGAAAATGTATTCTTATCATTGATGCTCACTGGTTTTGATTCCTGTTCAGATACGCCGCTTAAAAACCCCGAAACCCAAATGTCGGGACCATTGTTTTAGTGAAGTTCTGCATGTACCACTTTTAAAATTTAGGATATAAAAACCCAATTCATAAGCTTTCTTTTAGTACAAAAATCATTCAAATCACTTATGTACTTTTCAAGGTACGGAATTCTAAACACAACCACCGTTTTAAAGTTCTGTCCACGGATCACAAGAAGGTAAGTGTTCTTTCAGCAAAACGAAAGCAAATCTCATATGGATGCATCATTTTTTGTGATCCGTGGACAGAACTTTAAAATGGCCCTTGTGTTTAACATTCCGTAACTTGAAAAGTACACGAGTGATTTAAATTGTTCTTGTATAAGAAAGCTTATGAATTGGGCTTTTATATAATAGATTTTGAAAGTGCTACATGCAGAACTTCACTTAAACACGATGAGACATTTCCTTTTCGCTTTTTTTGACTCACACTGTATTACTATTGAAAACTTAATTGGTTCACAATTTCAGGGGCGATCATCGTAGCTTCATCATGACAGTGTCTCATCCGGATGAAAATTTATTATTATCCTTGATTATCATTGGTTCTGATTGCTGTTCGGATACGTTGCATTTGGAAAATAAACTCTTCATAAATTATATTTCTGAACGTTTAGAAATTTGGTTAACACTTAGAGGTGATATCTTCGCAGTGATCTTAAGATGGCAGTGTGCCATATTCGGATGAAAATGTATTGTTTCTCGTGGTTTTGTTTCCTATTTTTACAGATATGCCGATCACATGAGGTCACTTCTGAAACCAAAGGGCAGATGTCTTCTGGAAACTGTTGAATTTGACCAAAGTAAAGCGAATGGTAAGTCACATTATTAAGTGTTTGTGTAGATTTATTACAAAAAAATGTATCTGCATTTGAACGTGTTGATCGATGTGGCTTTACTAGTTTTATAAAAAATTCTTATGATTATAAGAATATGCACATGTATCTACACTCAAAAAAGTCCCGGGTCAGACTTGACCCGGAAAGGAATCGTGTGGTGTCTGACCCTTTTCCGGGTCAAAAATGACACTTTTTAAATGAGTCCCACAGTGTAATTTTGACCCGGAATAGTGCCATTTTGACCCGGAAAAGGGTCAGGCCCCACATGACCCTTTTCCGGGTCAGGTCTGACCCGGGACTATTTAGAGTGTAATATCAGTGTAAGTTGATTACTATTGACTTACACTGAGGGTTATACCATGACGAATACAATCTCTTTTGAGAAGATGTGTGGCTCTGAAAAGAACCGGTTGGTTGTGAAACTCGACATTCAGATCATGTACTCTGATCGTCTGCAGACACTTCTTCTCAAAAAGAGATTTTTCACACGATGTTACCACAAATCTCACTTACATACGCCACTTCCATGCAAAATTGCAGATCTATTAACTTAAAAATTACATTGTTTTCTTTGTGTTAATTAAGGTCCCCCATTTTCAACTCCAGCAAACGTAGTGGAAAAACTTTATGGTGAGAGCGACTGATTTTTTCCTTTGTAGATAATGGAAATAAGGGTGCTGCCATTTTGACTTTGAAACAGTGTTCTGCTTTGCAATTGCAATTAATATTGGGCAGTTCTTTGAAATCTAAAATCAACACAAACTTTATCTTCAATTGTCCATTTGCCATTTTCAAGGGTGTTTTGATGCCTCTTTGATGCTTAGGCTAAAGAAAATTTCCATATTCAATAGCAAAACTGTAACGTAACGTCATTCAGATGCAGAAACCTCAATGTTACAGCTTTTACAGGGTGAGTCAAAAAGAAAAAGGAACCCAAATGGTGCCCCCTACATGTATTTTTTAAAGAAGGTCTGCATGTAGCGGTTTCCAGATATAGGATATGAAAGCCCAATTAATACGCTTTCTGTAATGAAAGAATCAGTCAAATCGCTCATGCACTTTTCCAGTTATGGAATTTTGAAGGCATGCTGAGAATCCTCTTTTAGAAGAAAGCCTGACCAGGGGCCTTATATTCGGGTGTTTCATCAAGACCGTACCAGGGTATGGGATCTCTCTTATCTCACCACCTCATGCAAACTCCGTTTTTTAACCATGTCCACGTATCACATTAAAGGTACGTGATATTTCAGTAAAAATGCGACCACCTTGTATCCTGAATATGATACATGTATTAGAATAATCACATACGTCTCCAGGGTAGCCAAGTAGAAGGCAGGGCAAAGCTATGATCTCTTGACCAGGGGTGTGAGTGACCACTGATAAAAATAGCTGAAAACAGCTGAAAAAGGTGTAAAAAAGCTGAACTTTGGAAATCTCCTATACTTTTGTACACAGCAAGTGACGGGAAAAAGCTGAAATCTAAAACAAAGAAAGCTGAAATCAGCTTAAAAGCTGAGATTTCACATCCCTGCTTGACATTACAAAGCATGTTGTTTTAAATAGGAAACAGCAGGTTAATGTGTTATGATAAGTGCCAGTTATCATGGTTGTCAGAGTGTTCTGATGTGTTTTTTGATATGTAAATAGTTTTCGTTTTGCTGAAAATTAATCAGCAACCATTATTGTTGTCCGTGGACAAGCTTAAAAAAACGGTGTTTTCAAAATGTCATAACTCAAAGTAAATGAGCGATTTGATTCATTCTTTCACTAAAAGAAAGCTTATTAATTGGGCTTTCATACACATTTTATACAACTGTTAACCAAAATAAGGAATGTCTCATAGTTTTCATACATTTCAGATGAACGGAAATTTGCACAAAATGTGTACATGTGCCAAGATGAACTTTATGCAGTGACCCCTTTATTTGTTTAATGACGTCACAATGCACATTCCACATCTTCTTAAAGATGTTTTTCCCTGTTTTTGCTTTATTTTAGCTGAAGGCTGGGAAATCAAACCACTACAGGTAACAGATGGAATGAACGACCAATGGCGAAGCAGAGGGGTAGATAATGTAACCGGAAAAACAACCTTGCTGACCAAGAAATAACTGTGGTCAGAAGATAGGTAGATGATGACATTAGCTGATGTTGACTCTGTCATTATGAGACTAGCAGCTGCAGCTGATTAGCTAGGAAAGAGAGTGAGTGACTGAAATCAGGCCTTCAGATCATAATAAGTGAATCGATGTGTTTATAACAAGATCACCATTTTGATATGGACCTGTGAAATTCAGCTGGATAATGAACTTATTATTATGAGGACACAGTGTGGTGACCGGGTGGATAATGAACTAATTATTATGAGGACACAATGTAGTGACCGGGTGACCAATACTCCTAGTCTGTAATCTCCCCGACCATTACTAGATGATGGACGGGTGAGATTTGAAACATACATTTTCAGGTTTATTCACTGAGCTCTTTAAGAGCTCATGCAGTCACGGACAATACATAATGCCGGGATTGCCCCCCCCCCCCTCCGTCTTATGCAGACTGCAACATGGACCGTGAGATTATACTTTGCATTTGAAGGGTAATCTAGTGACAATGCACCTAGTAGACTGGAAAGGAATGGAAAGCAAATATTTGAAAGAAGGGAATCGGCCGTACTCTTGAACGATTGTTGCTATTTGGGGGTATAAATAGAATTGTATCCAAGCGCAAGTTCGATCAACGACCATTAAAGAGGTTGTGGAATGCTCGAAAACATTTCCGTCATTTTTTGGGTATATGTAGCCTAAGGTGTGATGAAATAAAAACGACTATTGTTTCCGTCATAAAATGAGTACAAAAGGTACTTTTGAGAGCTGTTTTTCAAGTCCTGTCATGCCTGTTTCGACCCGAACGTGCAATTTGTGTAAAAGTCGTCGTTGCGGGCAGCAAACAAATCACAGTAAATCGTGACGTAATAAACAGGACTCCTGATGCAGAGTAGCATATACGAGTCCTGTTTATTACGTCACGATTTACTGTGTTTTGTTTGCTGCCCGCAACGACGACTTTTACACAAATTGCACGTTCGGGTCGAAACAGGACCTTTTGTACTCATTTCATGACAGAAACAATAGTCGTTTTTATTTTATCACACCTTAGGCTACATATACCCAAAAAATGACGGAAATGGTTTCAAGCATTCCACAACCTCTTTAACAATAGTTCGACTAGCTCCGATCAAACGCACGCTAGTTGACGATGGTTGGACTGTCTAGTCGAGTATTCAGGACCTGCCTACCGCGGTTGGTTGCACAACGATTATAGCTGGTTATCAATAGCAAATTTCATAGCAATATATAGTGCAACAAAAATGTCGGAAAACGAACTAGCGTACATGTATTCCTAGTAGACTAGGACCATTTACTGCATGTTGGATGTATACACACAAAAAAGGTTTATTCACTGAGCTCTTAGGCCTGAACTTTTACTGCTATATTTCCATTTCGTTGCATATTCTTTTTAATATAATTTACGATTCTGTCAAACTTGTCACAATTGTACAATACTGCGATTTGTCCTATATTGTACAATACTGCGATTTGTAAGTTGTCCTAACTTCCACAATCACTGTTTTCGTGTAAACTGAAACATCAAGTATTTAACAAAATGCGACCCCCATTTTCTCACGACCTTTGACGTGACAACACTATTTTTGTCGTTCGCATTTCACAGTCAGTGTGCATGTGCTATGTGCGTCACGAACCAAGCACTAGTTAATCACTGCTTGATCGAACTTGCCCCATGATTTACGGCGACTGAAGTTTACATGTCGCTACAAAATACAAATAATAAAATTCGTATTTGTTCTTGCAATCTTTAATTTTGAGATTTAAGTCAAGGTACAGGGTGAGTAAAAAAAAGTAGAACCCAAACCCCAAAAATTATATTTTATATTTAAAAAAATATGTAGCACCAAAAGTAATAATGACTGGAAAGCCAATTTCATAAGCTACTTTTGGAGGGAAAAAATACTGAAATTGGTCAATCCGTTCAAAAAATATCACGACATAAGAAGAATGGCAATTGGTCTTAACGTATCTGTGGACTGCAACATTAACCAATCATGACCACGTTTGTTGACCGATTTGACTACACTTACACACACATGTTGACACAGGGAAAGCAAACTGAACGTAATTGAATTTATTGCCTGTATAGCAATTTGCAAGACTTGTAGCATTTAACAATCACTATGCCGTAAAACTGTTTAAGTTACAATATCATTTTACATTATGCATTGTACTTGATTAGTTTTACAGATTGTCGAAATCATATTGCTCATGCAGAATGTTTATGGAAGAGCGAATGTTAAATTTTAAGACATAATATATCAAAATACATGTATATGTATATACAGGAATAAAATGTGATTATTGAATAGACAATAATATCTGATCTCCTGGTGTATTACAGTGCGTTTCTGTCATCGCTTTACAAGCGCAATATGTACTATGACTTACGGGATATTCATAATGCCGTGCGATGTAGGCCTAAAAGTCGACGGCTGTTGGCGAGAGAGCCGGTGTATAGCGTGAATAACCGACCCCATAAAATGCGGACTCATTGGTACATGTAGTATTGTGCATGTGCAAGCACGAGAATATGCTATTTTTAGGATCACATACGGGAGAGTAACCTGTCACGTACGAGGGATTATCCAATAATAGGGAAAAGGTGTCCGATTTTCATAGGAGTCGGATTTTCATATGACACCGGCAACTAAAGCCCGCTTGGTCTGGCCCCAGCCTAACCTCTTTTCGCAGAGTCTATTGAGAGGGTTCCAAAATAGAATTAGTTCCAAATCCTAGATATCTATAATCCCTTAACACTCAGAACGTTTCCAGTGTCTAAAAGCTTTTATAGTTCTCCAAACCACCCCTGCAACTTACATGACATCGGGTGCAACCCAATAAAAAGGCCAAAAATCCGTCCGCTGAGCTCATGAATAAAAGTAATATACATGTACTCGAATTCTTCTATATCAGGGAGTTCTGAGAGCCATTGGGAAATTGAAGAAATAATGGCAATGCACCTCTGGCCCAGACGCGAATCTGTTTTTTTTTCTCAAACGACATCCGTTTCCCATCTTCTGATTGGACCATTACATGCAAATCTAATGCCTTACAACACAAACCCAAGATAGACTTTACGTCTTGTAAAAAATGTTCCTTACGGTTTTTTAAAGGGTAAAAATGAGAAGTAAAAACCTCTCACTGAGATTAAAGCAGTGGTTGTGTTTAAAATTTCGTAACTTGAAAAGTACACTAGTGATTTAAATGAGTCTTGTACTAAAAGAAAGCTTATGAGCTCGGCTTTCATTATGCTGAAAGTGCTACACACAGAACTTCGCTAAAACAATGGTCCCGACATTTGGGTTTCGGTCGCCCTGTATAAGCGCAATAGTGCGTGGGGTGACTCGCTAATAACCCCCAGTTCAGACCACCAACAGATGCCTTTTTTTCAAATTTGCTATGTTTTTCTGTCAAATAACCATTTTTGCAGAATTCTGCCAGAAATCTGCCTAAAAATCCATCCTGTCAAATTTTCTGTCAAACTCAATTTTTAACAAAAAATCTGTCAAAGTTAGCCGGAAATCGGCTAAAACGGCCACCATGCCTGTTACGCCTGCCTGCTGGCCCTCCAGAAAATGTTCGTTACAGCCCCCTCCTTCGGTCAAAATATGGCTTTTCATCCAAACAAGTCTGCTTTTACGTTCGTCCACTCTACCTGGATTATTTTTTTCAAACACATGTGGCCATACAAAAAGTCCAACATCTGCAATAATTAGGTTTTCACAATCAGTATACAAAATCTCTGCATTCAGAAGCCACTTTAAAAGTTTTTTTTGTTTCAACCATTTTTTTTTGCAGAAGTTCTTGTTTGAAAGAAAGTCAACAACTACATGTACTACAATCTCTACATTGACGTCTTTAATGAAAGCTAACATTGCAAATTAAAAAAAAATGAATGAATTTGAAGTCCGTTAATGGCGCGTGAAAGAAACGGATTGAGCAAAAATGTAAAATACTGAATTCATAATTAATTTCTGAATTCATAAACTTACTGAAGGTGTCATGATACAACCATGTAATATTGTCGAAATTCGAGTTTTAAATAAGTTGTGACGGGCCAAACATAATGAAAGGTAAGGAGCAAATGTTGTCGGGCCAAGTCTATTTGAATAACCCGATCCATTATTGCACCGCCCACTTCGCACACGTGCGCCTCTCCCATTCGATTCATAGTGTGACGTCATTCCAACTTAAACCACGCCCACTGCACACGGAGAAGAATTAATTTGAACCATTGAACTCCATTAGAGAGACGAACATTTATCTCCATAAAAAGACAGTGGAGATCAATGGTTGGATTCAAAGTGGCGTGTTTCGCCAATAGGCACTATGTATGCGCGTGTATACAGGGTGGTTAAAAAAAAAACTTAACCGAGATATTATTGCTAATTGGAACAGAAGTAGGGCACATGTGAATCAAAGGGAGATATCCTCTGTAAGGATTTAACCTCTTCTTTAAAATGACACCCTGGTCATGTCATTACATTCACGGTTGACTGAGCAGTGACCAATTTTATGGGTCTATTTAGGGAATTGCGCCACTTTTCAATTGCCGGTTTTTGTCAATGAAAGCTGTTGCGGAAAAGTTAGTGCACAAAGGAAAAAGGCAGAGGAGCAACAGAAAATCCTCGATTTACACAAACCTGCCATAAACAAACGTGCTACTACAAGTGCGGCAGCGCAGCATTCACAACTAAGGATGGGCAACATTTTATTATTGCGAGAGGAGTATTTGTGATTTCGAGGGATAATAGTTTTCCATCTTAAGTGAATATACATCATTTGCTTTTGCTGTAATTTTCAGAAATGGATGGAATTGGGGGGTTGGAAATATAAAGCCTATAGTTACACTGACTTTTTTGAGGTTTTGGGTTCGAAAATGCTTTAAAAACCAAAAAAAAACAACAATCAGTTTCCTGTAGTCTGGTTCCCTGACTCCATATAAGAAGAAACAGAGCAGTTTACAACATACATTGGGGAATTGTAAGGTCAGGGAACCAGTCTATCTGGTTCGTACCCATTCATAGGTTTGTAATCGATTGCAAACAAGTGCGATGGTCAATTGGGGCCAGTATTTGAAAAAAAGCCAGTTTTTTTCCAACGCTGATCGGCCAATCAGCGTTGGAAATTGATAAAAAAAAAACACTTTTCTTGAAACTGACAGTATACCAGGTGCCATGATTCAAGTTACAGGATGCTTTACGCTGTCATTCACTAACTGTCCAGCAAGGTATTTCAAAATGATTTGGTAGTTTTATTTTTTGATGTTTGCAAATGTTGGATTTTCCCTTTAACACTGAATCTTGTTATGAGGGGCTTTTTTGGATGAGAGGAGACAATTTTGTCAAGTGCGATCATAATTCACTTTTGTTTTCATCTCAAGGGGGCACTTTATGACCGCGAGAGGGACACTGTTGTTGGTCTGGGAAAATCTGAGGGTGGGGCAAGTGCCCCCTGTCCCACGGCCCCAGCTCTGCCGCCCAGGCTCTGCCCCCGGCTTGATCTATGATTACGGAGTCACGAATCAGCTCATCAGTTCGTAACTCTAAACACTTTCTTGCTATCAGTTTGTAATCATGTTTTCTTGCTAAACATTTGAGATAATAGCAAAAAAGATTGTGTTTAATCGCTCAACCCATTTTTTTGTTGGCCAGGCAAATATCCACGCAGCCTAGGGAATTATGCTACCAGTTTGTCCCGATGCCTAAAATTGAAAACTTGGTCCCGTGGTCAAGTTGACCTCTCTTCGAAAATTACTCATAACTCTGTCAAAAATTATCAGATTTGGACGTTTGATGTCTCATTTTAAAGTCGAAAGGCGTATCTTTCAACCCATACTTATATTATCTATGTTGGTTACACATTCTACGTCATTTCGTTATAATTTGTTTGCATTTTGTTTTTGATGTATACACACTGTATTAGTTGGCGAAGCTATTGAGGGCGCTACACGGGCATTATTGTTTGTCACATGTCTTGCGTAACTCGGTCATGATGTAACGTCAACAAAAGTGAGTTCACAAAGTGAATAGTTTTATTTCTACAAGTAAAGTCACTTGGATAAGGGTGATGATAAGGAGACCAGCAAGACTGGGTATATTTGCAGCCGTAGTTTCGTTTGCTACTTGGAGATTTCTCTCAAAACGTAATTTAGCGTTTCTGTTCAAATTCAGTTTGTGTCGTCTGTGTTGTCCAGTTTCCGGACGTATGGCATGTATGGAGAAATAAAACATGTCATGTGTGTTTTATTTCTCCATGGTTACATTGTCAATGTTTGGTGGTTTCCTTCAACATGTTTAAGGAGAACATGTATGTAATTGCAGAACTACCCTGTTGCCAGCCACGCGGATACGGAGTGGGAGTGCAGTGGAGCATGACTACTCCTAGCCCTAGCTGGAGTTACCTAGCCCCACTAGTGTGGCCATCGGTATGCTGCGCTGAACCTCTTGGCCACACACCGTGGTACCGCGCGCTACTGAGGACGAAGTTTCATAAAATCTGCGGGCCGTTTCTTACATTCTCAGTTTCTTACTTTCTTATGGTTGTATTCTATGATGTTTTACCTATCATTTCTGGGATGCTTAGGTCTAATGATGTTCCATTTTCCGAGATATTCTTCAATCTTTCTGGAGCCCATATGTACTCGTGAAACGTCTGGTGATGGCAGCCATTTTGAATGGCACAAGAGATTACCTCAAACTGTGACGTCGCGTTTATGCAAATTGCTTGTCGAGCGCGCGAGGGCGCGAGTTGCAAATGCGACAGCTGTTTCCTGTACCATGCATTTATCGTCAGGGGGCCACGTGCACCGATCTCTATTTAGGATCTACGGTACAGGAAACAGCCGTCGCATTTGCAACTCGCGCCCTCGCGCGCTCGACAAGCAATTTGCATAAACGCGACGTCACAGCTTGAGGTCATCTCTTGTCCCATTCAAAATGGCTGCCATCACCAGACGTTTCACGAGTGCATATGGGCTCCAGAAAGATTGAAGAATATCTCGGAAAATGGAACATCATAAGACCTAAGCATCCCAGAAGTGATAGGTGAATCGTGAAGCGTAACACCCGATGACTGTTTCATGCACTAGTATAAGGTTTACCACTCGCATCACAGCTTTGGTACTGGAACCGCAACCAATAGTGCATGAAACAGTCATCGGGTGTTACGCTTCCGCGTGACGTCACGCGCCAACAGCCAGCGCAGCCGGCAAAACGAGTAGTTGACAGCGATCGCTCTCTGTGCCTGTTAATCGACCGCCATTCATTGTACACAATTTTTTTTGTGCACAAACCAATAGCGGTCCTGGCCAATCCAGCAAGGTTGTCAAGTTAGCGGTTATTTCTCCTGTTTTCACTGCAATTGTAGGCTGAATCTTCATCGTGGATCGTTTTTTACTTCAAGGACCTGTGTAATGGTTATTCCAGGCAAGTTTGGGGTGAGTTGCAGTTGCAATTAGTGTGTAACGGGGACAAAATTGAACATTTTCCAATTTTTTTTTGCAAATACTACAAGTTTCGAGAAAAATGCGCTCCAGCCCTAATAGACAACCCAATGATAAAACTCAGGGCTGGGTAACTCCAGCTATCCTAGCCCCATAAATGTGGCCAATTTACTGGACTACCTCCGTAAATAAAGGCCACACTTCAAAAACATGTCGAACTTTGTCAAATTTTGATTATCACTGTATCACATTTAGGCTTAGTTTGTAGTTTATTTTGGAAAAATTCTGCCAACCGGACACCACTTTTTTCAATTAATTTTCTAGCGCCAAAAGTTACCTCTTTTATGGTTATTCCCAACACTTTCCCTCCTCTACTCTCACCCCCTCCTTTCCTTAATTTCTATTTATCAATCAGTCGCTCACTTCATCGAGATTCGAACCTCGGACGCTTGCTTGATACACGAGTCTCTTAACCGCTAGGCCGCATACGATCGCTGTTGCAATGATCAATTTTGGACGTATTTGAAGTATCCATTGAAATAAACTAAATATTCATGAGAAAATAAATATTCATAATGACGTATTGCACTATCATTGGCCGGCTCATGCGACGTCTCATGCGACGTCATGGTTATCGATGTCATGCGTATAACATACCGCTGTTCCAGACACTTCAATCAGTTTTGACCGGCTGCTTCAACTCAGATCAGCACTACATGTGCATGCAAAATGTGCTCCAAAAACACAGTTTTACCAATTTTTTTTCGCATGTCCACTCTTTCCTGGATTCCTCTTGGTTGAAATCACAAGGTAAGGTGAAAATTTGGATGTTTGGCGGCAGGTAAGTGGTGTCCGGTTGGCAGAATTTTTCCGAGGGTTGACCCCCACCCCTGGATCCGCGCTAGTCCGAGTAACTTGGACCCAACTTATCGCCTTTTTTTGACAGTTGGACGTGGTCTGGCGATAGACCATGTCCAAATGATAAAAAGGCGATAAGTTGGGTCCAAGTTACTCGGACTAGATCCGCGCCTGTTCTAGTACTAGGCCTAAATTCAATGATGTTAATTATTATTTCTTTCATATGTTGCTTTGTTGGAAGGGGGGGGGGATTAATTCCGATCTCTGCCATCAAGTGACGAACAATTTTGAAACATGCATAGAGCAACTCATCATGAACACACCCAAAAATTTCATGACTATAGGCCAAAGGGTTTTGAAATTAAGGCTAATTAATTATACATATGTACGAATGGTAATTCTGCTCCGTGCACACGACATATATATATGCAGGCATGCAACTTTTCTCGGATCAGCTGATTTCCTCTTTTTTTTACTTCCCATGTGTGCCATTGAAAATAGAAAAACACTGTACAAAGTCTGGGAAAAATTAGAATTTCCTCTTTTTTTGTGATTTCCCAGTTGCATGCCTGTATATGGGAAAATTCAGTTTTCACGGCGTGTAGCGCTGGAAATTTTTTCGCTGCGTGGCAACCCGTGGCCGGTCCGAATTTTTTTTTTGTATCAAAAGATGCGCAAGGCTCAAGGCTGCAAAGTCATAACAGCTCGGGTCGCGAAAAAATTTAAAAAAATCAAAGCTATCACGGAAACAGTTGGGGGGGGGGGGCGGATTCCGCCCCTGGCCCTTTTAGGTTTATAACTCATAGATGGTTCTTGAGTCTGATTGTTATTGCAACCGACATGACTGATGAAAAGTGGTTGTGCAGATAAATAGATGTTCAGAACCGGCAGAGTTAATCCTGCCTACACCTATAAGTATAACTTAAAAAGTACAATGCAAAATGCTTATACAGAGAGACATCAGGATGCCACATTCTTTCAGTGATGTTTAATATTTCCTTCTTTTCGCAGCTCATCTTTCACTCCTAAGAAGTGGCAAAGTTCTCGGTCGGAGCATGACTAATAAAGTCCTTGACGATGAGTATTGGAGGCAGCGATGGGTGAATAACCAAATAACTTTCCACAAGTCCGAAGTTAATCCGTAAGTTTAATTACTGTTTTTTTATAAATTGATACTGCTGGCCATATGACCTATAGCTAGGCCACTCCTAAGTGTGAACATTCCAGGCATGATATTTTTCAGAGTTTAGTCTAAAATCAGAAAGACATGTAAAAAACGTTTTTTTCTTCTTGAATTTCCCCCCAGTTTTCTGACTTTTAAAGCTACAGTCCATCATGTAGCTATCCAAAAAGTGACTGACGTAATTATTGTTGGAAAACATACTTGGTTGAAAAATATCAAGGGGTCTGAACTCACTGTGAAATTATTCTTTCTGGCATGCTGTCATTTTTGAAGAAATCAGCAAAAGAAGGCATCTTAAGACGCACTGTTGGAAATTTCTGTTAGCAGTTTGCAAGCGTTGACACGATGCACATGCATGCGCGCCCTCTATAATTCGTCGGAATAGTGCCCGATACTGTGTAGCTGCATTCAGCTCAGTAAGAACATGTCTTGGACGATGAATTCAGACCCAATTCAAAACAGGATTCAGCAAGTTTTGATTTCAAGTGGGGGAAAAAAGTCTAGATTTCAAATTCAGGAAAGGTAATATTTTTCAGGACATTTAGCATGCATTGCTGACTTTGCTGTATGGTTCTAAATACAGAGAAAGTCCAGTACTTGAGACACATCTATGGGGTAAAGGTGTTGGCTTCAAACTAGAAAGTTATTTTCCCATTTCTAACATCTTGGCATTGTGTAAAATACAAATTTTCAGAAACCTCATAAAATATATAGCCGAGTTGACTGCCGGACAAGAGAAATGCCGGATCTTCGTTCCGCTGTGTGGAAAGTCAGAAGACATGAAATGGTAAGAATGGAAATAATGCTACCTTGTTGTTAAATCCCATATACAGTCGACTCTCGTTAGTACAAACTCTGTTAATACAAAATTCTGGTTATAACAAACATAAAGGCCTTGGTCCCAACAGTGCGTTAATGTACACAATGAATGGGACTGATGTTCCTCTTTATAAAATATTCTGATAGGCCCCCTATAACAAACAATTTGGCTAGGTCCAAACGAGTTTGTATTAACGAGACTCGACTGTATAGCCTAGTCTGAGTATCACCCGTTATCCACGGAGCAAGTCTCCTGTATAACGTCTGATATGTTTGGATATGCAGATACATTTTTGTATATGTAAGCCGCTCGCCATCCAATCGGAGTCGACTACCAAAATCGTGACGTCGTTTCATTCCCAAATCAGGACTAAATGGTTTGATTGGCCAATTCGAATGCAGTGTTATACAACAACAGCCGGGCGGGATATCGCCTTACATGATACAGAGCGCGTGACACATTTTTTTTTCATTGCACCCAGCACTTACGCTCAAGTTCACACCTGTATGCGTGTGGACACTTGTATGCCAGTTGCTGTGTTTGTTGCTATGTGTAAAGGTGCTTTTTTTAGCCATTGTTTAGTCTTTCGGCTGTGCACAGCAAGATACTAAAAAAAAGCTAGTGACTCGCTCTTGGCCGATCAAGATAAAAAATATGTGGGTGAGATGTTAATAATTTTTGCTTACAACTGAGTGAGCTATTTTGTAATAATTTCAATGCCTAGGCTGGCTGATCAAGGTCACACTGTTGTAGGAGTGGAGCTGTCGGCTCTGGCGATTCAAGATTTCTTCAAGGAGAACAAAGTGGAATTTACCTCCAGCCCTATGGAAGGAGTCAGTGATGCTGATCTGTACAAGGTACATGTATATTGTATGCAGCAATCACTCAAGTCAATTGCAAGTCAATCACAAGCCAAATTGGGCGATTCGCTGTGCTGTGCGGCACCAAGTACTTGCCACGGAGAGTTCATTTTTCCCAGTGCATTGTTGGAGATTGTGGACAAATTCGCAGCGCGGGACATTTGAAATTATTAGATTTTACCGGCCATTAGTTTCTAAGCATTTAATTAGTGTATCTGTTTGCCCTTTTCTTTGCTTTATATCAATATATTTTTTTTGTAAGGCGGCAGAACGCTGTGCTCCAATCTATTTCAAATTAGCTTAGGTTGTCTACTGACACTCATTCAAATGGGCCGTGTTTTGTTGACCCTAAACTTGAAAAATTGACTCTCCATGGCATACTCTTGGTGGCGCACTGCATTGTGAATCGCCCAAATTGCAAGTCAGTCACAAATCAAATTACAGTACTTGTAAATCAAACGTCAATCATAAATCAGTCTCAAGTCAATGCCAAGTCATTCTCAAGTCAACCACTTACTGATTGCTAGTCAATCACCTTTTGATTGGCTAGTAATCACATTGACAAGCGTCAAAGTGGGGCTGTTAAGGGCAAATATCTGATACAATTGTGACTAAAGCATGAAACTTGGTGGAGTCAATTCTCAGATGTGAAGGCATTTCGTATTTAACATCTGGTGAACTTTGTGAGGTCAATGACCTTAAATACTCTATAGTAAATATTCTTGAAGACGTCACTTTCCAATGACCCAAGTCTACATCATAGGTCTTCAGGCCATGAAAATACTGATCAGATATGAACCTCTGGGCTCTGGCGACCAGTGTTTCCCCTGCCCATTCAAACGTGAGGCGGCCCACCTCGCTACTTTCAGTGACCACCTCGCTCAATTTTTGCCAATATCACCATCTTGCTGTGAAGATTTGCAATGAAGGAAATAGGCCTACTAATTGAAAAATTTTTATTTTGTGTAATTTTTGAGCATTTTCCTTGACCTTTATGTATCAAAAACTTATAATTTGGATGTGTAAGTGGAATCATCTCGCATTTTGTAAGGGCAGCATCCCTTTGAGTTTGCAAACTGCGTCAATTTTGTTTCAATCATCAATTTAAATTTTTACCACCTCGCTCATTTCATTAGCCAGGGGAAACACTACTGGCGACGTTCCAAAAGTCAATGACCTTCATGTGCTGTATTGTTATTTATATGATTTACATTTCGAACCCCAATTTTCAAGACCCATCTCTAAATGTTAAGTGTTCATGCTATGAAAAGAATTTTCATAGGTAGGGCATTTAATATCTGACCTCTGGTGACCTCTAAGAGGTGAAAAAAAAATGTGTATGCTCTATTTATAGATATTTATTAGATTTCCTTTTCGAAACCCCACTTTCTCATGACCCAAGTCTAAAAGTTGGCTCTTCGTGCCCATGAAAAGAATTTTCAGATCTGGGGACATCATATCTGACCTTTGGTACCCTTGGATTAGTTCAATGAACTTTGTATACCTTATTTGTCGCTATTTAGTCAAAAGTCTGTCACAACAAATGAATTACTAGTCAAACATGGGCTAAATCACAAAGACTTGTAAGTCAAACGCAGGCTAAATCACAAGGCTTCAATAAGTCAATCACAAGTCAATTATGTAGATCACAAGTCATTGACAAGCCAGAGCACATGTAAATCACAAGGAAGGTTATCAGTAACATCATAAACATTGCAATTTGTTTTATATTTAAGTTGATTAATCATACTGTTTATTTCTGCATTTTTTTTTAAGAGTAAAGACGACAGTATTCATCTCTACAAAGCAAACGTCTTTGACTTGAAGAGGTAAGGCTGGCAAAAAAAAAATTATCTGAATTCTTTTTTCAAACATATTTCCTAAGAAGACCTTTTGAATCTGTCAGTTTTGGTGTGTGGTTTGGGTATTAAATACACTACAGAAATCTTTCTTAAGGCTCAAGTAACAGAGTTATCCACTGTATCATAATGCAAGGCCACGTTTATCCCTGAATGGACCGGGGGGGGGGGGGGGGGGTGTGTTCCACCCCTCCGATCCCCTCTTTAGCAATATTTTTGGCAACATACACTGCGCGACATTATTTGAGGCTGCGCACCACGGAAATTATGGCCTACTGTGGCAAATTGAGGAATGTCCCCTTAAACCATGTTTTGAGTAATCAATGCCTGAAGTTGGATATGTCACTAGAAAATCATGTCGAAATCAATATTGATTTGTTCTTATTTTTGAGTAGAGTATCCAAGATTCACACTATGCATTTTCGTTAGGAAAAAAATATCCACAAAAGTTGGAAACTGAAGCACGTTTTCCACTAACGTTGGCGGCGCAATGCGTATTTCTTTTTTTAAAGCCGTTTTTCTGGAATTAGGTTTTCCAAGTTCAGCATGACACTGTTGAAGTTCCTGTGGCATATCTTTGGAATAAATTAAGATAAAAAAAATAAATCTGGTATTATTGGAAAGCCAATGCTTTCTGCTTTAACATGATGTATGTAACTTGAAAAGTCAAGGGTGGGGGGTTATTCCTCATTATGATATGGCAGGTCACAATTGCATTTCCCCATATACAATACATGGATAGTACAGCTTGCTGTGTTAACAGTGTGCTAACTTAAAAATTCAATAATAAAAAAAACATTGTGTTGTATGAAAACAAAATTCTTATTATTTATTATTATTAATCATTTCTGGTAATGAAACCAAGGATTCCTCAAAAGCGCCCTAGGCACTGTAGCTCGCAAGCCTGAAGAAACATGTAGAGAGAAGACAATGAGAAGAAATTACAGCTTTAGAGGTGGGAGGAAAAGCCCAGAAGAATATTCTGGGGAAAACCCACGGAATCAGGCAGGGACTGAAAACCCAATCCACATACATGTATTGGCCCAGGCGGGATTCGAACCCAGGTCACAGCGGTGGCAGGCGAGGAAAGTACCGCTACGCCACCTGAATATGTTGAGCTTTAATTGCTCTACATGTACAAGTGTGCCCAATTTCATTCCATTTCATTGCTTCACGCCAAAGTTCTGAAGGGGGGGGGGGGGTATGAGATTGTAATATTTCAGCAATCGACATACTTGTTTGGCTACTCTACTAACTGTTATTGTGTACTGTCATGACCCCTGACCCGCGTTACATTCAGACTGTACACTCACACGCGGTGTATACATTTTCTCACTGTACATGATTGTTATACATGCATTGCTGTAGTTGTGTAGTGTGTATTGCAGTGTTGAATAATAGTGCTCTCCAGTGCCGAACCAAGAAATCGAGAATAAACTAGGTTATCACAGTTCATTACAAGATGGTCCCAAAAAACCTGGCCTCTTTAGGGTTTGTCAAAGAGTACTTGTTTACGATTGTACAGGGTGGATAAAAAAAACCCCGAAACCGAGATATTATTGCTAATTGGAACAGACGTAGGGCACATGTGAATCAAAGGGAGATATCCTCTGTCCTCCTCTTTAAAATGACACCCTGATCATGTCCTTACATTCACGGTTGACTGAGCACCAGTGACCAATTGTATGAAAGCGTCTATTTAGTGACTTGCGTCACTTTTCATGGGAAATTTCTTTTTTTTCCACCTGCCTTGATTGGCAACCATAGCCTTTCACTCTGTGACAATTGACACAACCGAACCACAATTGAAAAGTGGCCCAATCCTCTAAACAGACCCTTTCATATAATTGGTCACTGCTCAGTCAACTGTGAATGTAAGGACATGATCAGGGTGTCATTTTAAAGAGGAGATTCAACCCTAACAGAGGATATCTCCCTTCACATGTGCCCTACTTCTGTTCCAATTAGCAATAATATTTCGATTTTTTTTGTATCCACCCTGCATAATGCCTGGACAGTACCTTCTTCAATCCTGCTATTTAAATATTTTAAATCTGTAAGATTTTGAAGGTTAAAATGTAGGAGGATTGTGGTTGAAGGTGATATGTTTACCCAAATCTTACAGGATTTCCAGATACTTCATTGTACTTTCTTTGCTTGCAGAGATATTATTGGCGAATTTGAATTTTCTTTTGTATCCACCCTGCATAATGCCTGGACAGTACCTTCTTCAATCCTGCTATTTAAATATTTTAAACCTGTAAGATTTTGAAGGTTAAAATGTAGGAGGATTGTGGTTGAAGGTGATATGTTTACCCAAATCTTACAGGATTTCCAGATACTTCATTGTACTTTCTTTGCTTGCAGAGATATTATTGGCGAATTTGAATTTTCTTTTGTATCCACCCTGCATAATGCCTGGACAGTACCTTCTTCAATCCTGCTATTTAAATATTTTAAACCTGTAAGATTTTGAAGGTTAAAATGTAGGAAGATTGTGGTTGAAGGTGATATGTTTACCCAAATCTTACAGGATTTCCAGATACTTCATTGTATTTTCTTTGCTTGCAGAGATATTATTGGCGAATTTGACTGCATTTGGGACCGTGCCTCGTTGGTTGCCTTGCTCCGTGAGGATATTCAAAAGTACGTCCTTTTTCTCGTGCTTGGAGTGATAGATATGTTGTATTTGCTGAAATAAAACCTTGAATCACACTGCTGAGAAAAAAATCCATTGTACAGTGTAGTATGAAAAGTTTGATTCCAAAACGCGATAAGCTCTATTTTGTTACCTTTTAGAATACTGCCCTCTGCTGGTTACTTAAAGTCAGTTTCTACGGCTGTTATATAGTTCGGGGTGTGAAATCTCAGCTTTAAAGCTGATTTCAGCTTTTTTTGTTTTGGATTTCAGCTTTTTTCCCTCACTTGCTGTGTACAAAAGTGTAGGAGATTTCCAAATTCAGCTTTTTTACACCTTTTTTTCAACTGTTTTCAGCTATTTTTATCAGTGGTCACTCACGCCCCTGATAGTGAAACACAATAAGTGAAAGATGTAGTTTAGAAACGGCTGTTATAACTGTGTATATAAATGTTCCAAAATGTTCAACTTTTTCACTTAAATTTGTGTTAGCTTTTTCAAATGGATATGTCACATTTTGAAAATAAACTTCATATATTTCTGAACTATTGGAAACTGGGTACAGATTTGGGGTGTCATCATCACAGTGTGCTCATGACAGTGTCTCGTTCGGTCGAACATGTATTTAATCATTGATGCTCATTGGTTCTGATTCCTGTTCAGATGCATCGCATTTTAAAAAATAAACTCTTGGAATATTTCTGAACTATTGGAAAATTTGGTGCAGGTTATGGGGGATATCGCAGTGATCTTATCATGACAGTGTTTCATATGGATGAAAATGCATTCTTATCCTTCATGCTCAGTGGTTCTGTTTCCTGTTTTTACAGATATGCCGATCAGATGAGATCGCTTCTGAAACCAAAGGGCAGATGTCTTCTGGAACATTTTGAATATGACCAAAGTAAAATGAATGGTAAGTCACATTTTTAAGTGTTTGTGTAGATTTATTACAAGAACGTGTCTACTTTTGAATGTGTTGATCCATAATGTGGCTTTACTAGTTTTGTAAAAGTTCTTAAAGGGAATATACAACATTTGCAAACATCGAAAAATAAAACTACCAAAATTTTACGAAATACCTTACTAGGATGTTGGTAAATGACAGTCTCAAGCATCTTGTAAAATTATGGCACCTGGTGTGAAGTCATTTTCAAGAGAATGGTATTTTTGTACACATTTCCAACGGTGGTCGGCCGACCAGAGTTGGAAAAACCTAACCATTTTTCAACTACTGCTCCAAATTTACCATTTTTTCCAGTCCAAATTTTGTTTGCGATTGGTTACATGTTCATGAACGGGTGCAGGCCAGCTAGACTGGTTCCCTTGCCTTACAATTTTCCATCATCTATAAATTGATCCATTTTATCTTTTGTGGAGTCAGGGAACCAGACTACTTGAAAATTTTTGTTTTTCTTGGTTTTTCCAACCTTTTCGAACACAAAACTTCAAAAATGTCAGTGTAAACAATATTTGATCTATTATACTAACCCCTCAAATAGTTCATTTCTGAAAATTACAGCAAAAGCCAATGATGTACATTCCCTTTAAGATTATAAGAATATGCACATCTATTTAATATCCGTATAAGTGGATTAATATTAACTTATATAGTGAGGTTTGCGGTAACACCATGTGGAATAATCTCTTTTGAGAGGAAGTGTGGTATTGAAAAGAACCAGATGGTTGTGAAAACTCGACGTTCCGATCAAGTTTGCTCTGATCGTCTTTAGTCTGAAGACACTTCTTCTCAAAAGAGATTACTCCACATGGTGTTAATGGAAACCTCACTAGTATATATACTACCATCATGCAAAATTTCATATCATATTTAATATTAACTTAATAATTACCTCCTTTTCTTTGTGTTAATTAAGGTCCCCCATTTTCAACTCCAGCAGACGTAGTGAAAAAACTTTATGGTGAGAGCAACTGATTTTTTCCTGTGTAGATACTGGAAATATGGGTCAATTTAGGTTTTGCCCTTCACCGACGTTTAAACACTGAATACTCAGTGTGTTACCTCCCGATTGAAAGTTGGAAAAATCACTCGGGTAGGACTCGAACCCACGACCTCCTGCTTTCTAAAAAAAAATTCCATCTTAAAATAGTTTATGCGGTACCCGCTGCTATGTACATCAGATTCGAACCGTCCGTTAGCTTGGTGGTCGAGTGGTAAGACATCTGCATTAGAAAGCAGGAGGTCGTGGGTTCGAGTCCCACCCGAGTGATTTTTCCAACTTTCACTTGGGAGGTAACACACTGAGTATACAGTGTTTAAACGTCGGTGAAGGGCAAAACCTAATTTGATTTATATCACCCCGGCGCAAAAATTCCATCTTATAATTTAGGAAATATGGGTGCTGCCATTTTGACTTGGAAAGAGCAACTGTCCTGCTATTGCAATTGAAATAAATTTTGGGCAGTTCTTTGGAATGTAAAATCAACACATCTGTCATTCCAACAGTCACAAAATGTACTCCCAAACTCTATTTTCTATTGTCCAATTTGCCATTTTTCAAGGGTGTTTTGATGCCTCGTTGGTGTTTATGCTAATGAAAATTTCTATAGCCATGAGCAAAACTGCGAAGTCATTCAAATGCAAAAACCTCAGTGTTACAGCTATACAGGGTGAGAAAAAAAAGAAAACCCAAATGGTGCCCCTATTTTTTTTTAAAGAAGGTCTGCATGTAGCGCTTTCCAGATCTAGGATATGAAAGCCCAATTAATGAGCTTAGCCCAATTAATAAGCTTTCATTTAGTTACTTTTTCAGATATTGAATTTTGAAGACAAACTCCGTTTTTTAACCTTGTCTGCAGATCAAATTTAAGGTATGTGATATTTCAGTAAAAATGAAACTATCTTGTATCCTGAAAATATCTGAATAATTCCATAAGTCTCTGGGGTAGCCAAGTAGAAGGCAGGGCAAAGCATAAGAAAACATGTTATTTTAACATTGGAAGCAGCAGGTTTTTAGATAAATGTTATGATAAGTGCCAGTTATAATGTTTATGAGGGTGTTCTGAGGTGTTGTTTGATACGTGAATAGTTTTCGTTTTGCTGAAATATCAGTAACCATCATTGTGGTCCGTGGACAATTACAAGCTTAAAAACGGTGTTTGTTTTCAAAATTCTATAACTGGAAAAGTACTTGAGCGATTTGAATGATTCTTACACCAAAATAAAGCTTATTAATTGGGCTTTTATATAATTTATAAACTGTTAACCAAACAAGGAATGTCTCATTGTTTCCATAAGTTTCAGATGAAAGGAAATTTGCACAAAATGTGTACATGGACAAGTATGAAATTCATGCAGTGGCCCCTTTATTGTTTTAATGACGTCACAAAGATGTTTTTTTCCCTGCTTTTTTTTTTAGCTGAAGGTTGGGAAATCCAACCACTGCAGGTTACAGATGGAATGAACGACAAGTGGCGAAGCAGAGGGTTAGATAATATGACTGCACAAACAACCTTGCTCATCAAGACATAATTGTCGTCAGAAGATGAAAAGTACGTAGATGATGACATCAGCAGATGATGACAAGTCTGTCATTATGAGAGTAGCAGCTGCAGCTGATTAGCTAGGAAAGAGAGTGAGTGACTGTGGCCTTCGGATCAGATAAATGAATCAATTTGTTGATGACAACAACACCGATCTGATATGGACCTGTGAAATTCAGCTGGAAAATGAACTATTGTGAGGACACGTGTTGACTGGGCGACTTTTATACTTGAAAACAGAGCAACAATTGGTGTGAACACATAAGGGTAATTCCACCGTTTAAGAAAGGAAGTGTTTTGTCCATTACAGAGCCATTGAACCATGAGATCTTAATATTGATTCAGAGAAATTATCAAATACTCCTAGTCTGTAATCTCCCCAACCGTTACTAGATGATGGACGAGTGAGATTTGAAATATACATTTTCAGGTTTATAAGCTCTGTCACGGACATTACACATTGCTGGAATTCCCCCACCCGTCCTATGCAGACTGCAACATGCACCGTGAGATTACGTTTGGAAACAAGAGGGATTTGAAAAGGCAATCTAGTGACAATGCACATATATGGACCGGAAACAAACGGAAGCATTTGAAAGAAGGGAAATCGGCTATATTTATGAATGAATGTGAGATGCCATTTGGGGTAGGCCTATTAAAAGACAGGTTTCCAAGTCTTCAATTGTTACTTCAATTCCAAAATTATTTTTTTACGATCTTAAATTTTTGGCTAGCTGCGAACAGATACCGGTACGAGCCTACATGTATGCAATACCGATTTCCGTCTGTCCGGGCGTCCGTCCGTCCGTTCTGACCATACCCCACATGTTTTGGCTTCTTCGTTATTTAGTTGAAAAAAGGAAAAGAAATGCAGTTTATCAGCTCTAAACCTGGGTGGGGTACGGGTGGGGATTGGGTGGTGATAGTGCGTTTATAATGGTGATAATGGTGATGTGGTAGCCTACATGTACATGTAAGAATACTTGTTAAAATGTACATGTAAGAATACTTGTTAAATTTTACAAAAATGTATGTGAGCATTTATAATTAACCCGACACCTTGGCGCAACATCCTGTATCCTGATTTTCTTCCATCATGCCCATCCCCAACCCTACCTTCAGTCTCCCCTCCCGCCTTTGGGAGCGAGCCATGGCGGCTTCGCCGTTCTAGTCAGATTTAAGCATGGAGGTAGAATTAGCTACCTCCGTGATATAAGGAAACGCACTTGGATTTTCCTTGTGTTAGTACCCGTGAAATGACGTTGTTTCATCAGTGCTCCTCAATCGCTGAAAAGGCTTGTAGAGCATGTAAGTCTCGCCAGTCCATGTTCAATTGTTGTCTGTGAGCGTCTTGGTTCTATACACTGATCATGACTAGTCTAGTCACAAACTCCCACGTTTGATTGTTATATATCTGTGCGATATACTTGATTGATTGAAGGGAAGTTTAGGTAAACAAATTATTTTTTTTTTAAATTATCTTTGATATATTGTAAATTGTAATGCTTTATACTCTTTCGAAATAGCCATTTATTGTCCTTGATTGAATGGACACAATCATGACACAATATAAATGCACAAAATAGGACGTTTAATACAGATGTTGTAGTTGTAGATCCTAAACGTTGTGCCCGGGTGTGCTGTATTCTCGTAAAATATCTCAGGTTTAAAAAATGTTGAGGCAACCTCCATTGGTTAATACTTGCTCTGCTGCCTGGAACGTATGTGAAAACGAACTTGTTTAGTAGATAGCAATACATATGTCGAGAGAAAAAAAGCTTATTGATAAAAGCGTGGACCGCAACATGAACAAATTATGAGACTGTAAAAATATGAGAAGAATTGCAATTGGTCCAGACGTATACTGTGGACTGCAACATTAACCAATCAAAAAGCACCCTCGTAAACTGATTTGATTACATGTGTACACACGTGTTGACACCAGGAAAGCCAACTGAACATAATTGAATTTATTGGGTTTACACTTAATTTGATTTGACAATCACTATGCAGTAAAAATTATAAAATTACAGTATTTTACATACTTGTTTAGTTTGACAATTGAATTGCACCTGCAGAAAGATATGGCAGAGCAAGACAGGATTATATCAAAATAAATATACATGTTTTACAGGAATAAATTGAAATTATCTGAAAGACAGAGAGTAATACCTGATCTCTTGATATATTACATTGCATTTCTGGCATCGCTTTACGAGCGCAATATTGTAATACAACGTGTATGACTAACGTGATGGATTCATGGATGTGATGCAATGGAGAGTCAACGGCTGTTGTCTTTTATGGCGAAAGAGGCTGCAAGTAAAGGCCCGTTTCGTCAGGCTCCAGCCAACTTTGTTCCCAGGGTCTAATTTGAACCTCGCGAGACAATAGTAGAACCTGGGAGAGAAACGATTCAGTAGTATCAGGGCCAGTGAGACAGCAACTAGTGGGAGCATACTGCCCGACGCCATGGGGAGGAGGTTGGCTCCAGCCATTACCATACAGAATCAGACATTCGGATGCGGATTTGTTTTCAATCTACCGGCTTGAATTTGTTCTTTGTATCTTCATCTGACAAACGTTTCGTCAGGCCGGAAAACAACTCACAGTCTAAGAGGTTAACCGCTCCCCTAAACAAAACACAGCTTGGGATACCATTACTGTAGACCTTTGCTTCCGTACTGCTCTCCTGAGTTTCTCTTGAAATCTAAAATTGCCTTTCCCTCTTTGGGTAATGAGATCTCTAAAAACCGGCTTGTGGTGTCCCATTGTCCCTATTGTCGCCCTTTGTTCCCGGTACCCTCATAAGGTCACATAAGTACAAGACTCTGCCAACTTGAGGCAAATTCTCTTAGCACCAATAATTGGGAGGACAGTATGACGTCATGTGCTTGAAAAGTGGTGAGAAGGTTGCAGGAAAGAATCAGTTACAAATCCTAGATATCTGTGATCCCAGCAAAAGCTGGCAGGGATGTATTCCGTCAGTTTCAGGTTTCAGGTTTATTTCCATACTATTAGGTAATTATGTTAAATAATGTTCATCAGGTAAACATTTTAACGGAACTTGAAATAATAGTATGGGGAGGCCAGACAAGAAACCGAAGCTTGTACTGGGTCTGCCCCCTTCACAATGAATACATGTACTTATACAATTCATGATTATTCATAGGATATATCAATAATATGTTATTAAAAAAATAATATTACATTCAATTCATGAGCTCATGCAAAACATTACAAAAAAGAATAATAAGTTACTTTAAGTACATTTACCATCCTTGACTTTAAATGTAATAATTTTACTTGGCAATAAAGTAATAAGTTTGCTCTTAATCACCATTGACATTAACCGTAGTGAGAAGTAGGTTTTTATAATACAATTTACATACTAATTGAGGTCATTGGGCAGAGAGATCGAATTTTATTCCAAAGGAGGGGTCCCTGGTGTCGTACGGTTGAGAGGTGTAGGGATGTTCTAACTTTATTAAGATGAAGCTTATTTGACGACCTTGTGTCGTAATGAAGAATACCTGTGTTCTTTACACACAAAAAAGATATAATATTCAAAGGCAGTATTTTTTTATTTTTATTATACAATAGAGCACACAATATATATTTATAAAGATCATATACAGATAAGGTGGTGAACTTAACAAATAGCGGGGCAGGATTCCCTAGTTGTTTAAAAATTGCTGGTAATATAATTGGCTCTGTTCTCTCCTTTAAACTCCAAAATCTCATGCAAAAATGCGAGAGAGCCCACAATATACTCTTGACCAAGGAAGGATATATTTTTATATATAGCATCTCTAAACTTGCGTGTCTTTATTGTTGTCTGTGTTATGAATTGGCGCGTATTTAGTATCGTGCATGACAACGTTGATATCTTTCTCGTGGGTTCTGCGCCTTAATCTCCGTTGGATTGCAATGAGAAGTAAGGAAGCAGCTGCAAACACGAAAAGACCCGCTATGGCTACCAGGCTGAGGGTGTAGTCTCCTGTCAAGTCGTACAAACCACCTACAGATTGATAATGAAATAATAAGTAAAATGCTGGTTATTTCTCTTGTGAGGGAAATAATAATCTGCGATTAAGGCGTGCAGGTTGGCCTATTACCTAGCGAAATATTTCTAATTTCCGTTCCTTTAAAGTAAAGTTTGGTACAGTGTTATAACTATGCGTTTCCTATAAGGCGCACGTATCCACCATTATTGGTTCTCAAGGTGCTACATCATCATTACTCCTGACCCAAAGACGATCTCAGCTCCCTGGAGGAGTATATAGCTCGATGCTGCCATTTCAGCGCAAAGCAGCTAAATTCAATCACAATAATCGTCTGTGCCCTCACAGGTACCATTTACTCCCGGGTTGGGAGAAGCCATGAGTGACAAAGTGCCTTGCCTAAGGACACAAGCACCACAGCCCCAGGCTGGACTCGAACCCACAAACTGCAGAATTACCTGCAGGCCATGAGTTCAGTGCTCCAGATCACGAGGTCACGGCCTATTTTAAGACATGTTCAGAATCTACAGATACTTCGAGCTGTTGGGAAGAAAGTTATCGTGTCAGTTGGCAAATTTCTGTTCTCGGCAAAACTCGGCTGAGAGCAAGTTTATTCTGTTTGGCACATTCTGTTGAGGAGCTAATTTCTGTACTTGGCAAATCTCCTTGCTTAACAAATTTCTATCACCTTACCGGCCAGTGGAGCACTTATTAGAACCCCAATTCCGTACGGTATCTGCACCAGCAATATGACAACGCTAATCCCGAAGTGGTTGAAAATCTCCATGGAAGCCGAAATGAATGTAGCGTAAAATCCGGCCCGGCACATCCCGAAAACTGAAAGTAAAAAAAAAGCTGCTTAAATCTCATATTGCCAACCCTCCAAGTCTTCTGGAATTCACAACCTTTTCAAGTTTTGCAAAACCACTTTTGCCCATAGAATTCGCTGCATTTTCGAACATTGGCTTTCCGGATTGGTTTTGGCGAGTCAGTGGTACTTTTGGTTCGCGCTGTGGTAGTTTAAACCTTTGCCTTACACTTTCCGTGGCTCGGGTTCTATTCCCGCTGGGGCTGACATTGCCGATTGGGTTTTCAATCCCTACCTGATTTCGTGGGTATCCCTGGCATATCCTGCTGGGTTTCTTTCCAACTTTATAACGGAAAATTACTTCACTTTCTATGGGCCTTATTCACGGGTCGGCCATATTGAATTGAAGTTAGGTAATCTTAATTTTTTGAACTTGGGAAGAAAAAAGAAACAACTTAATTGGTAATCAATTCCAGTGCCTGAATAAATAATTTTAAATTTGTAATTCAACATTCACGAATGTTTAAAGCCATATTTAAAAAAAAAGATGACAGTAAAAATAAGGCTGCATTGTGCCTGCATAAATAATCTGGCGCCATCCCATTCAACAGTTAACAATTAATGAAATACATTCAGGGAACTCGACAAAAATGGCCAACTAGTGAATACGGCCATATAGCGCGTGGTCACTTTACACTCGGGAGCCCCCTTCAATGGAAAAAGCATTGTAGGCGCTAGTGTACAAAGCAACTGCCCCGTCGCGTGACGGTTTATCTAAATAATAGCTAGCAATATGCTTTCGCCATTGATCTGAAGGGATCCTTCGTGACAGGATTACTTGCTTGCTCGCTCGAAATGGTTTATAGGTTTGTTCAGGCATCTAGGTAACAGTGCCAATGCACTGTCTTTGATTTCTTAACAGAAAGAGTAGAAATTGATTTTGAAAAAAAAATTGATAACTTTTTTTTCAGACGGTTTATGCTTTTATTTTTCGAATAACAAATAATTACACAAACTTACAAAGCGCTGGTATTTAGATTAACATATTCACAGTGCTGGGGTCTTCAACAACTAATACCCATGGTAAGCTTGAATGAAGTTTTGAGTCAAGTTGTGAAAGAGTCATCGTCATCTTAGGGCTTTTGGCAGATTCTAGAGTACATGCACATAATACAATGTGCCCAGCAGGCACATAGATACCGTTGTGGCTACCATCTTGGCTGTACTTACAAAACGTCAGTGCCAGCATGGGCGGCAAGGTCGATGTCAGACTCAGAAAACCAGAAAGGACAGCCCCGCCGATGAACGAACCGCCCATGACATACAGTTTCAGGAACGGCAGCGAATCGCCGATGATCCCAACCAGAATCTTGCCCGTGATCTGGCCGAGCGAGAGAACCACTACAGCCAGCGAGATATTGCCCTCAGTTAGACCGATGCTGTCCATGAAACTCGACTTTGAAAATAAAAAAACCATGGAATAAGTTATATATCAACTGATGTGATTGGATTCAATTTAATTCGATGCAAGAGACATACACTGGTTTCCAGGCTTTGGAATGGTAGATCAGTGTCCATCACAAATTCTCGCATGTCCACGCATGTCCTCACAAGGCCACCACAGGTCCTCCAGTCTCAATTCAAGTCACAAACTATTTTCAAGAACTAGGACAAGTCATGCATGGATACACTGTTGGAAGTTGCTATCGCCAAGAGTGATGGTTTTCAAGAGCACCACCACTGGTACGATGTGTTTGGAGGCCAATTCATAACACGCAAACGCCAATTTACAATAGGCCTTATCAAATCCACATTGTGATCATATATATATATATATATATATATATAGTAAAAGAAAATTCGTAAACGTTATTCTTTAAGATATACATGCACAGAATTACACTTTTTAAAGTCGATTTGGACCCAAATCAGGGTAATACATTTCCGGGTCAAAATTACACTTTTACGAGTCAGAATGACATTTGTCTGGATCATTTCCGGGCCATTTTGACCTAGAAATCTTGGCAAAAGTGACTTAGTAAAGTCTAACCTGAGACGTTTTAGGGTACAGTTGGTGTGACAGTTTGAGTGTCTTTACCATCAATCTGGTAAGAGTCTTACCAGATTGATGGCGTGGAAAGTCCACGCCATAGCTCCGACAGCGACTCCCATGACCATGAGCCAGGGTGCTAGTTGCCGGTAGAATGGGACCAAAGCCGGGGTCGGTGATGGCGAACCATCCTGTATGTCACCGATCTCTTGGAGTTTGTCGTCCGGGTGCAACCCGGTAGGTTGCAACTCCGTTTCTGGTGCACCCCTATCGCCCTCCCGGAGTTTCAAGTCTGGAACAGGCGGGGGAGTAGTCATGAAGAGCCCGGCGAAGAAACTGATGACGAAGATGACACTGGATGCCATCATGAAGGCGTGACGCCAGCCGTATGCCGATATCAACGTGTTGAGTACCAGTCCGGAGATCAACATACCTTACGATAAGAGAGGGCAATATTTAACTTCGCTCCCAGAGACTACATTCAACCACAAGACAATAACAGAGAGCAGCTAGTATTAAGTGGTACTGCTTGATGCCATGACAACGAGGTTTGGATATGGTATGATGCTTTGTAGGCTCTTTTTCTATGGTATTTTTTTTGTACAGCCTTCATTCTATGGTATGTGTTTTACACATTCCAAGCTGTGTGTTTTGCAGTTTGGTTTTTGAACATCCCTTTTTCTATGGTATGGTCTTTGCAAAGCTCTTCACTCTATGGTGTAGCTTTTGTACAGTTCGTTATTCCATGGTATGATATTAATTTTGTACATCTTACAGTATAATGGTATGTTAATGCACGAGTTATATTCATCTGACGGAAAGAATTACTGTAAATTACTGTAAATACAGCGTGACCCAATAAATATTGTGCATGAAGAAATCGCTGAATTTCTCAAAAGCTGGTTAGATTAGCTGATCAAATTTTATAGCATTTTGAAGCCGATGGTCCGGTCTTGTTTATGTTTGGTGAAAAAATCAAGAAAATCCAACCATGCAAACCTATGTATTTTTCGACCTGCACAATGTAATTTCCACACTTAGTATTTGGTTGTACAGGGTGAGTAAAAAAAAAGCGGAATCCAAACACCAAAAACTATATTTCATATTTAAAAAAATAGGTAGCATCAAAAAATAATGACTGAAAAGCCAATTTCATAAGCTACTTTTAGATGAAGAATTTACGGAAATTGCTCAATCCGTTCAAAGAATATCACCATTTAAACCAGGGTGACCGTTTTAGCCGATTTTCGGCTAACTGGGACGGATTTTTTGTTTCAAAACGAGTTTGACAGAAAATTTGACAGAATGGATTTTTTTTGGGCAGATTTCTGGCAGAATTCTGCAAAAATGGATATTTGACAGAACAACAGCATAATTTGAAGAAAAATGGTACATTTGTTAAATAAAACAAACTTCAATCTTTTCAAACAAACCCTTGCATAATGGGTCAGATTGGCTTGTCTTTGTGCTGAGGTTCACGATTCCAGACTTTGTCGTGACGCAGACCTCGTTTTGCCTGAAATTTACGCAATTTCATAACATCTCTATGTGACTATAGATTGTTTATAATGTAATTTGAACCTTAAATAAGGCAATACTACAACATCTGCAAAAAAAGGTCGCGAAGACAAAGTGGTGTAAATTTGATGAGTTGGGGGGGGGGGCAAATTGTCCCTGCCCCCCTCTAAAACTGATAAATCGAGAATGTGTTGAGAAATACAAGCATTTTTTTTGGCAAAATCTTTTTTGCCCCCCTCTAGAAAAAATCCTGGCGACGCCCATGATCATATTGTGTACTACAGTTGTTGACAGTTGTTGAAACAAGTATTCTGTGTCATTTTCTTCGTTGTTCCAAACGGTGAAAACACACAACAAATTGCTTGTTTTGGACGAAACAGGTTTTAGGGTAAATGCTTTTAATTGGTGATATTGTTTGAACGGATTGAGCAATTTCAGTAATGTTTTTTTGTATCTAAAAGTAGATTATGAAATTGGCTTTCCAGTAATAATTGTTTTTGGTGCTGCATATTTTTTTAAAATATGAAATATGAAAAAGTTTGAGGGTTTGAGTTCCGCTTTTTTGACTCACCCTGTATATACCACTTATTTGGTTATTGGTATTACGCACTGCTTGAAATATTGCATGGCCTTTATGTTGCACTTATAAACAAGACCACTTGCTTTAAAATAATATAAAATTTGCTTAGCTAGTAAGACAAACATTTTAGTAAATCAGCGACTTCTTCATGCACAATGTTTATTGGGACACGCTGTATGAATGTCAGTAACAAAACTAAATTCACTACATACCACTTGGTGTACCGACTATGATGACCGAGGATGCGCGTGCACAGTACTTCGTCGGAAACCACATCAGACTCAGTGTGTACCCGGCTTGAAGAATGAAGCTGTCCCCAAGCCCCACGACCACCCCGTAAGTCAGGAACGCGTATCCCAGCGACGGCACGAAGGCGGTAGCGAAGAACCCCCCGCAGTTCAGCAACACTCCCACCAGAATGACCGTCCGAGGGCTCAGCCGCCGAATGAGGGCGGCAGCTGGGATGCTTCCGAGGCACGTCAAGGAGTGAGTTACGCAGCCCACCCATCCTGTTTAGAAGGGATACATACTTTTAGACAAGGTACCAGTTTTAGAAGTACATGTGTATTGTAGTGATTCGTTTCTCACCTTGTATATCTAATGAGTCCTTTTCGACTCATACAAGGATCTTCCACCAATGCCCGGATCTTCCACCTATGTGTCCGGGGTTTTAGATAAAGTGTAGATACACACAGGCTAGTCGCTCTGGCTTGGATCCTTTTCTGTTTATTTTCTGTAAAATGACGAGGCCATCAATAAGACATGTTGAGTTGCCTTCGTCACTTTGTAATGTGTAATGATTAAAGCTAAATAACAATAATTACAAAATTCTTAAATTAAGTTCACTGGACAAAATCACGATAAATTCAAACAAATATCAGCCATCCTGGCTAATCTCACAAAGTTATTTGCAGAAATTGAGGAATCAATAATTGAAAATGAAGAACAAAGAAGATATTGGAATAATGGTCAAATAGTTCGCGCCCAAAAGTCTGGAAGGTTTCCGCCATCATGAAAATATCACTTAACTAGTGAGTCAAAAATCAGTGATTCCTATATTTTAACATTCACAAGCAACAGCTACAAAATGTTGGAATGTTAGAGAGCGTTACACTTTTCAAATATAGGATGCTCCTGGACTCAGTGTATTCAGTCTGTTGGAGTGTAGCCTAGTGGTTAGGGCTCATGACTCATGATCAGAGTTCCAGGGTTCGAATCCAGCTGCTGAATACTTTTCATCTCCACCCAGGAGTATAAATGGGTAATTAGCTGGGGAAAAACCTGCAAGGGCTGGCATCCCTTCGCATCATGTCATAGTCCAGGAGCCAGCCCGGGGATGTTTATTTGCCAGAAATGTACAAGTGTGTTGGTGTGTATTTCTGGAAAGATTACACCTTGGGGTAGTCGAATTGCCTATTGTTATGGTTTCCTGGCGGTGGACCTGGATACCAGGAGCAGATAAGTAACGTCACATAAGAAAAAAAAAATACGGCCGATAGCAGCATTTAGAGGAACGCGGGCCATCTAAGAGACTTATTTCCTCTCAATTATTGCCTTATTCCATCAATAGATAAAAGTTTAGAAAAAAAAATTAGTAATTTGATTTGGATATTATTTTGACCTCAATAACCATATAATCATGTTAATTACTGTTTGTTTTCTAGCAACAGCATCTTCCTTGGCAACAACCCTTCAGGGCCTTCTTAACTTAATAATAATATAATAAATGACCAAGTGCTTGGTGGGTATTTCTTGAAAGGTTATACCTCTTGCGGTATTCAAATGGCTAGACGTAATGTTACCTGGCGGTGTACCTTGATACCAGAAGCAAATACATGACGTCCATATGGAAATGAAACATAAGGCTGATTTGTACAATTGAGAAAACTGATGCATGTTTGAGAATTTGCTTTATTTCAAGTGAGTTCACACAAATTAATGAACTCAAAGACGAGATCTTTGAGTAATTTTAATAGGATATCCCTTCTCCAGGACCCATACCGGGTGAGATAAAATGTTGCGGAAGATACCGTAATACCTCCTAGCCATGAGGCGCTAGTCCTAGGAAGAACCACTCACAAGTTGGAAGCTGAGGAACAGTGTTGAAATCGAGTACTTTTTTCCGAGCACAGAGTACTGCCGAGTACTAATAGGTTGCCGAGTACGAGTACGAGTACGAGTACGGGTACCTCCGAGTACAAGAATGAGTCTCAGAGTACGAGTAATTGTACTTTCGATTACGAGTACGAGTACTTGTACATTGTGCGTAATTGGCCCAGGCCCAGTCAGACCGATAAACAGACAGACCCACTCACGACTAGCTGTTAAATGTGTTTGTCTGGACTTGCACAGAAGAAAATCAGGAAATCTCGATTTCTCAACAAGCCAATCAACCATTTCAAACTGAAAGTATCGATAAAATAAGGCCATGGTAAGGGAAGCTATAACATCCCCCCCCCGAGTTCTGCTTTTCGAGTACGAGTACTTTAATGATTGAGTACAATTTCGACATGTCGAGTACGAGTACTTTGCTGCCCGAGTACGAGTACCGTCATTTCGAGTACGAGTACTTTGACATTTGAGTACGAGTACGAGTGCGAGTACTCCAAAAAAGTACTCGAGTCGTAAAGTACGAGTACCGAGTACGAGTACTTCAACACTGCTGAGGAACTACAGGAATCATTGAACTGGTGGCGGATAATGAGGAGTTAACGAGCAAAGGATCAATTCTGGCAAGGACGCTTGTGAAAACGGGGAAGGGAGGGACTATGGCCTTGGGTGTTCTTAACCCTGGATAAAGGGAATGCCTCCTTCGGAGCGGAACCATGGGGTCATCTCTCACAGGTTCAAGAGGGAGATGTGGAGGAGGTGTAGCTTGGAGCTTCAGCGGCAGGAGGCACACAATCCAGTAGTGTTCCCCATCATCTCCTGGACTTGTGGCAGCGCAGCACCGGTGACTTACAACCCCAACACCACGAGGCGGTAGCCAGCCTCCTCACTGACTCCGCCGATGTCTTCTCGAAGGACGATCTGGACAATGGGAAGTGCGACTTCATAAGACACAACACTGAGACTGGAGATGCGAAACCGATAAGGGAAATATTCTAGCGCCATCCTTCTTGCAACCAAGAGGAGATCGCCAGACAAGTGGAGGACCTACTCGAGAGAGGGATCACTGAACCCTCTGACGGCCCGTTGGCCTCCAACATTGTATTTGTGGGCAAGTTACATTGGGGCAAAATATTTCTGCATATCCAACCAAAATTGGTTACACATGACTCGTGGCTCAGACTCGGACTCGACTCCAGTCCCATTTTCCATGACCCGGACTTGGACTCGAGTCACGATGACAAATGTATCAGATTCGGACTCGACCTAGCGGACTCGAACTTGGACTCCTACTCGACCTGCGTGACTCTGGACTCAACCAAAATTACCACAAATCACTGGTTTTTTTTCAACAATATAATTACACATTATTTTGAAGACTAATTTTCCCGAGCAAGCGATACAGTCAGTGTGCGCAGTGTATAGAAGAAATGCATCTAGGTACTGTACATAATACACACGCGGCTAGCAAATTCCCGATATATTGATTTTGGAAATCAATGCATCGATATTGCGTAAATCCAAGCTTGATACTGTTTGGTACCAGATTATCCTTTCCAGACACTGGTACCCTGCCAGGCAGTACCTGGTGTGTGGTGCTGTACAAGGGCGGATCCAGGGGGGGGGGGGCCAAAGGGGGCCATGGCCCCCCACAAAACGAAACCAATTTTTTAAATTTTTTATGTGACATCGCAATAAAGGCAGGCAATGAGTACACCACCATCTTTTCCTCAAAAAAAACATTGGTTAAAGTGGTCAGAAATTGCCTCAGATCGCACCACAGAGCATCTAGAATCCAAATTTTTTCGGGGCCCTTAAGCGGGCCCCGAACCCCACGCCGTAATTTTTTGACCCACTTTTTTGGGGCACCAAATTTTTTTTGGCCCCCCAAAAAATTGTGTTCTGGATCCGCCCTTGGTGCTGTATTGGTTATGACAACCAATCTGGTTTTAGAGTGATAACATGTCAACTCCTTAATCAGTTGGTGTTTAAATCTGACGTGCACATGGGCACTCAGTTCATCTACAACCTGAAAGCGGTTTTTAATACTGGTAGTATTCGTAGTTTTGATTACTTCTAAAACCATACATTGCATAAGTGTACAATGTAAACTAACTTTAAAAGTCTTGCATATGACTTTGATAAAATATAAACAGTAATTTCTTGAGCAATTTTAATGACGCATAATATGTAGATAGCAAAACTTGTTTGGCATTGACGGGAACCGAGTAGGCTATACCGAAATGAACCGTTATTTGTAGAAGTCCCTTTTTAATGTTAACTGAGATCGATCGTCTTCATTGGCTTATTCTATGATGTTATACATGTATTTCTAGTTCATTAAATAAGAGATAAGCTATGACAAAATGGAAGCATTTACACTGTGATGTTTCAGCAATACCTCAATATTTTTCTTTCCAATATATAATACTAAAAGATGACTCGTGACTCGGACTCGACCCTGGTGACCTCGTGACTGGGACTCAGACTCGACCTATATGACTCGGGCCTCGGACTCTGACTCGGGGAATGCCCATGCAAAATCATTTCAGATTTTCAGATAAGCTTGTGATGCCCTTTAACGCTTGAAGCTGAATATCGAACACAATCGGTTTGCCTCGTCGCACACGTAGGCCTACGTACGGAAGTACAATGTGCACTTTACTCCTTTTATTGTATAAAAAACTGCCGTTGGACATTGTTCAATGAATCAGTACCGTACACTACATGTTGACATGCCATGGGGAAAAACGTATTCCAGCATCAATAAGTAGGCCTATTGTATTAGTAAAAACACCAATGGTTTCATGTGTGTTTGGGCAAAACCTGTGGTTGTGTTTGGTGAATTCCAAAGGCATGGACTGTACATATTAATACTTGAAATTAAACCGACCAATGCATGACGCCTTCTTTTTTTGTGAGTCACGGAGCGATCTGAGATCTAGACTGTTTTTTTTTTTCTCCAGCAATTTTCAGGGGAAATTTAGAGAAGGTTTGTCGAAAAGTACAACAAAATGTTATCGTTTTAACAACTTGAAGATAGCTACACTCCTAGAGGTAGTAATTGTGATTTTCTACCCAGTGGCGTCACCAGACTTTTCAGTCTGGGGGGCACAGGGGGGGGGGGGGGCACAGGGGGGGGGCACCAGCATTTGATGGGGGGGGGCACTTAGGTGGATACGGATCGCCGTCCTGGGGGAGGGGTCTAAGGGGAGGGGGTGCCCCCTTCCCCTTTGGAAAATGTTCGCATACGGAGAATGGGCTAGATGCAAAATGGTGCGACATTTGATGCTAAATTCGATCTGAAAATATCTCCAGAAATTGCTATTTTTGAGGTAATGATTTTAACAACGCGCAGAATTTTGCAGAGGATAGGGGGGCACCAGCATTTGATGGGGGG